ACCGAGCGACCCCGGCCTGGCAGACCGCGGGCGGAGGGCGCCCCGAGCCCCGAAGCCGAGCCCGGCGCCCGCGGCGTTCACAGCGCCTGGCCCTGCGCACAGGATGCAGGCCTTGGAGCCGGCCGCGGCGGGCTTCTACGAGGAGGATGGCCGAGACCTGGACTTCTACGACTTCCAGCCGCTCCCCACTCTGCCTGAGGACGAGGTGAGCCCCGGCCCTCTCTGGGGCCCCCACTTTCCCCTAGAGAGCCAGCGGCAGATCCTCCTCCCCAGACCCCCTGCCCAGGACTGGGGTCTGCGCCGCAGGGTGGGGGGTCCTATATCTGTGCTCACCCCCACCTCTGGGGCTGTACAGGTTTCCCAGGAGAGGACAGGACCCCTGGAATGGGGCAGGGGATGGAGTGGGTGGGCGGCATGTGCAGAAGTTGGGCCCCAGGGTGGTGGGGTCCTGATGATGAATGTGGGTTCCAGGACATGGGGACAGACATTGAGGTCAGTGTTTACTGGGTGCCAGCAGAGCCGAAGGAGGGTGGCACCATTCAGGGGCCGGTTTAGGGGCCACGTCCTGCTGAGGGCTAGGGGACACCAGGCCTTCCCCCAGGAGACCTGCACTCAGAGGCAGCCCACTGGGCTGGAGTGGCCCAGGGGGCGCCAACCACCTCCATCAGCCTGGGGGACGGTCTTCTCACTGGGCGGACGGCCACAGCCCAGTGTCTGTGATGTGGCACAGTCTGTCCCCACTGGGCCTGAGTCTGTCCTGAAGCTTGCTCCCGTGTGCCCAGGACCCCCAGCAGACGGTCAGTGAGGTTCAAACTCATAAACTCCAGGGTCCTCAAGTAGATGGAGGATCCCTGGGAAAGAGTGACCCACGAGCGAGGCACCCCAGAGCCGGGCAGTCTTCCAGGCTGCGAGGTCTCTGTGTGAAGGCCTGCCCAGGCTACATGGCAAATGCCCCCTTCCTGGCGCCCCCAGCCCACTGTAGGAGGTGCTGCAATTCTGCAGCGGGGGCTGGGGGCTTCAAAGCCCCTCTTTAAATGGCCCTGGGCTGATAAAGACCCTCCAAATGCTGGTCAGAGTGGACCTGGAGGCCTAGAGGAGAGGGACCAGCTGGTTCCTGGCATGACAAGGCCAAGCTGGGTGCCCCCACCCACGACACTCCCGGCCCCACGTTCCTCTGAGAACTGGCCCCCACACACCCAGGCTTACAAGCTGCAGAAACTCAGTTCCTGTGGGTGCTGAGCTGGAGCCCGTCTGATGAGCCTGCTGCCCACCACCCGAACCCAGACCAGGCCGGGCCAGTCGGCGCTGCCCCCGCCCCACGGCGGCCTGGATTCGACGTGAGGGGAGGCTGCAGGGAGAGAGGGAAGAGAACGACAGACCTTTGGTTGCCTCCACGGCTTGAATGGAAGGGGGAGGGCGTGCAGCCCGCAGCTTGCAAAACCTGCCTGGAGTGTGCATTCAGTTTACCTGCTAGACGCTGAATGAGTCCTTGGTGGTGGCCTTGGACTTGAGGCCCATCTTACCCACGGCCTGTGGGCCATCGTTCCTTCTGCGGGTGACAATGTTCCCTGCCATTGCCCTCAGCTGGGCCAGCTGGCAGCAGGGTATGGTGCAGGGGGACGTCCTCCAGCACCTGGCACTATAGCCAACGCCCCCGGGAACAGGGGACTGTGAAGCCAATGCATGAGTTCAGGGGGGCCCACCCCAGCATGTACACCTTCTGGGAGAAGGGGCTGCCCTGCCCCTGTGCTCCATACGCAGAAGTCTGAGTACCTGAGAACACCTGCAGCCAGACACCTGGATGTGCTGGGCAACCCCAGCTCTAACAAGGGCTGCTCGTCTCTGGGCCTGGTTCATGAGGACTCTGTCCCAGAAAAGTCACCCTGTATAGGACACAACCGGGGGGGCAGTGGCACGTCCCTGGCTGGGCAGTGCTAAGGGATCTCCCTCCTGCCCCAAGAGAGGCTGGAGAGACAAGGTCAAAGGGCAGCTCCTGGAATGGACGGTGGACATCAGACCCGGACACAGACAGACATATGCATTTTAACAGCTAATTGATTATGAATTGAGGCCAAAAAGTCAACCCTCGGACCCCTGGAGGCCTCTGGAGTGCTCCCCACCACACACCAGTGAACACACAAGAAGCTGTTTGCCTTGGCATGCCAGGGCAGGGCAGGATGCACCCATGGTGAGCACCGCGGCCAGGCTGGTGAGCAGGAGTGAGAAGGACAGGGCCCCGTGTGGCACAGAGCCATGGCTGCCTTCACTTGCGACACAGGGAGAATGAACTGGAGCGGCCTTGGAAAACAGCTGAGCAGCAATAGCAACGTGGCGGGTGCCCACCCCCCATGTCCCAGCAGTCTGCCTTCTGGGCTTCCACCCCAGAGACGCTTACGCACAGGCACATGACGTGGCCTAAGGAATCGCTAACAGCCTGCTGGAAACTTCCAGGTTATACCCCTGCCCAAGTGCCTGGCCACTTGCAGCAGTGCCTCCACGTCAGGACAGGCCAGGGAGCACAGTGGACTGGGAGACGGCTCTGCTAGGCACTGAGCAAGATGGGCTTCCCAGAAGTGGTGGCCTGGCCCGGAGCCACACGGAACATCAGCCCCACGACGGGGTATGGGGCCATGGCCGGCCCTCAGATTCTGGCAGGGTGATGGAGAAATCGACCATGCTGGCTGCCATGTGGGACAGGGGTCCTGCTGGCTTTCAGGGGGCACCGAGGAGGGCAGGTTTGGAGGTGAGGCTAGTACCAGTCAGGGTGGTTTCCATCCCCGGCTCCCCCAGCACCCTCCAGGCCAGGCGCTCGACCTGGGGGGTTGAAGGTGAGACTGTCCCTGCGCTAGAGGAGCACACAGCGCCCCCCCAGGACCACCCTGTGGAGAAGCAGCCGTTCCCACTGCGTGCAACAGGGATGTGCACAGTCTTTACAGAGGGAGTTGGGGGGCTGCACCTGGGGGGCCCAGGGGAGCTTCTGGGGAAGGCGATATGTACACCCTGCTGGCAATATGAGTTGAGGGGGGCAAGCACGGGGGGCCAGCAGGAAGACTCCTGACAGAGCACCCGGCCAAGCCGCAGGCTGGGGATCTGACGGCGAGGGGGTGATCTCAGTGGCTGTTCTCAGGGCTTGAGTTCTGAGTTGGCGGGACCCAGAATGCTCCAAAGTGACACAACATTAATGGATTATAAGCCAGTGCACTGAGGGTGCAAAGTGCCTGGCTCCCTGGGATCTGCTCACCCTCTGTCTGAGTAAGGGGCTTCGTGGACACAGAGGCCCCTAACCAGGGTTGCTTGGCTGGAACTGTGTCCTGGGGCGGGAAGCCCGGCTGCCTTCTGCAACCCAGGGAACAGCTAGCCCGAGGGGTCACATCAGCAGCCTCCACACACACTCCTCTCCGGGAGAGGTCAAGTTTGTGCAAGGCCTGCACTTCTGCCCTCGACCCCTGGCAGGAAGTGTGACTGTGGTGGTCCATGCCGTAGGCCCACACCACAGCCCCTGGGGCAGCAGCGCCTCCCTGGGGACTTGAAGGTGGGGTGGGGGCACAGGAGCAGCCTGGGGCTGGGCTGGATGGAGAGAGACCTCTGCCAGGTGAGCAGCCAGGCAAGAGCCCGGGGGTGGAGCTTCCAGAAGGTACCGCCCCAGCAAGGTCAGTGTTGGCAGGAGCAGGGGCAGCTGAGGGGTGGGAAGCGTGATAACAGTGGCCCTGCAGGCCCTCGTGTGTCCTGGGCACTTGAGTACCTTGGAGGCACAGCTCCTGGGCAGTGTCTGCAGGAGGCCTTGGCTTTGCCATTCCCAGCACGTCCTTCTGTCCAAAGTCTGCCACAGCCCGTTAAGCCCCGGAGAGCGTTGGAAGCCATACGGCTGCGTGGTTTCAGCTGGCATGGAGCTGAGCCCTGGGGATTGTATGAGTGGGCAGTGAGGCTCGGTCAAACGGGTCCTGAGCTGGCCCCTATGGCGGCAAGCAGAGATGGGAGTCAGGGCCGCTTCACAGGTTGCCCACGGGGCCTGTGTACTGCGTGGCCAGTGGTGAGATGTGTCTCCTGGGGCCGTGTGGGCCTAGTCTGAGGAAGCCGGGCCACCACAATGTACCTGTGCTGCCTGGCCTTCTCCTCTCCCTAGTCCCTGGCCCTTCAGCCAAGGCTTGTCCGACACTTCTGCCTGCAGACAGGCTGGGCCATGGAGGTCGGAGAAGAGGGGCCTGCCTGAGCCGAGCTCAGTGGAGGAGGCAGGCCAGGTCGGGGTCATGGCCCTTGGTTTGTTAGGGGAGCCTGTGGCATTGTTCAGCTTCCATTCAGAACATGGGAGCTGAACATACCTCTCAGCTGCCAGACCCCCGGATTCAGGGGAGTCAGGACAGTCCTGTCTCCAAGTGGAGCACCACCCCACGTGGAACGTCACCCTGGACCATCAGGCAGAGACTCCCCAGGGCCTCCCAGTCTCAGCACTGAGCCCACCCATACACAAGTAGGCACGAGGCCTGTGGGTCCCTGGCCTTTCTGAGCTGACCGAGGCAGGCATGTCTGCTGCCCTGAGCAGGAGATCATGCTGTGGGTGTGGGATGCCCCTGCGCTGTTCCTGGCCTCGTGCCTTCCCTTGGCTGCCTGTCCTTGTCAACAGCTTCGTGAGCAGGCAGGCTTCAGAGATGCGGGCCAGTGACTACAGGGCAGGCACCCGCAGGGGACTGGCTCAGATGCAAACCATGTACCAGATATTTCTGCAGAACCCCACTCACCCCTCAGGGTTGTTTATCATTTCACCGAAAGCTATGCATGTGTGTGCAGTGTTCATGTGTGTTACATGGGTGTGTGGAAGTGTGTACAGTGTGCACATGTGTGCATGAGGTGTGCATGTGTGTGCATTGTATGTGGTGTGTGCAGTGTGTGGAAGTGTGTGTGATATGTGCACGTGTGCACATGTATGTGTGTTGTGTGTGTACTTTACAGCATTTTGTAGTGTGTGCACATGTGCATGTCTGCACCATATGTGGTGTGTATATGCATGTGCATGTGCATGTGTTCTTGCCCAATGTGTGGGTGGGTGGGTGTGAAGTGTGTATGTTGTGTGTACATGTGCATGTGTGCGTGTGTGTGCAGTGTGCATGTGTACATGTGTGCTTGTGCATTGTGTGTGTGGAAGTGTTGGTGTGCACACATGTGCATGTGTACACTGTATGCTCTGTGCATGTGTGTGTGGTGTGCACACGTCTGTGCACATGTGTGTTTATGTGGCATCTCCCTGCTGTGGTGGGACCCCTCACAGCCCAGAAGAGGGACTCAGGGGTGGAGGTGCATGTATGTGTTGTGTGTGAATGTATGAACTCATGTGATGGTGTGTGCACATGTGTGAGTGTGAATGCATTGTGTGTTGTGTGTGTCTAAATGTATGAGCTTGTGTTATGGTGTGTGCACATGTGTGACTGAATGCACGTGTATGTTGTGTGATGTGTGCACGTATGTGTGTGAATTCATGTGTGTGGTATGATGGTGCGTGCACACATGAGTGTGGGTGAATGTGCATGCAGTGTGATGGTATATGCACATGGGTGAATGTAAGTGTGAATGCATGCTATCTGATGGTGTGTGCACACATGTGTGTGGATGTGAATGCATGTTGTGTGATGTGTATGAACATGTGTGGTGGTGTGTGCACGTGTGGGGGGGCAGGCCTGCATGTTGTGTGATGGTGTGTGCACACGTGTGAGTGTGGGTGCTGGTGACAATGACCACAGTCATCTCTTAGACTCTGGAGTGCAGGCGTAGCATGGCAGAGGCCTGGACACTCAAACTTCCCAGGGCTGGTGTCCCAGCAGCTCAGTACCAACATCACATGGCACTCAGTGTTGTCATATGATTACCATACAATGTGCACAACTATGCGTCTGCAGGTGGGGACTCCACTTCACAGACCCTCACCTGTCCTCCTGTCCATTTGGTCCCTCCATGTGACCAAATGCAGGGAGCCTGTGGGAGCCAGGGTGCCCCCGTGCTGGCGCACCAGGCTGTGTCCGCCAGGGCACAAGCTTGTTAGCAGGCGCTGTGGCTCAGAAGCCAACTGCCCCGTGGGGCTGCACCCAGGACAGCCAGTTACTTTTCATTAACACAAAGAACTGCCTAACGCCCTGTTCCCCCGCACACAAGAGCGTTGTTCCGGGGAGAGGCCGGAGCGCAGGGGCAGCAGGTCCGGCTGTGCCCGCCGCCATCCAGCCAGTCCCAGCCCGCCTGTCTTGGCAGGAGAATGTGTCCCTGGCCGACATCCTCTCCCTGCGGGACAGTGGCCTCCGCGAGCAGGAAGCCTGGGCCGTGTGCCTGGAGTGCTGCCTGGCCATGCGGAGCGTCGCCCACTCAGCCATCTTCCAGACGCTCTGCATCACGCCCGACACGCTGGCCTTCAACACAAGTGGGAATGTGTGCTTCACCGAGCAGCTCAGCGGTGAGCCAGGCGCGGGGAGGGCGGGGCTGGGGGCGGGGCGGGACGGAGTGGAGCGAGTTGGGGGCGGGGCTAGGGGGTGTGAGGGGCGAGGCTTGGGTGGGGAGGGTGGGACTAGGGGAGGGAGGGGCTGAGGATGGGAGGGAGGGGCTAGACGCGGTAAATGGGAGGAGGCGGGGTGGGGCGGGGCTAGAGGTGTGGTGGGTGGAGAGAGGGCTGGGCTAGGGGTTGGGGAGTGGGGGAGAGTGGGGCAGGGTGAGTGGTGGAAGATCTGTGGGGGATGGGGAGTGGGGGAGGGCGTGGCTGGGGCGTGGCAAAGGACCAGGCTAGGCTGTGGGCAAGGGCGGGGAGAAGGGAGGCAGCTAGCCTCCGCTCCCCTGTGCGTCCCCCACTCCAGGAACAACCCAAGGTGGAAAGGGCCTGGCTTTGCCCCAATTTGGTGGCGTTAATTCCTTCTTTCGGAAGCCAGACAGAATCCTTCCCTCGCTTGTGGAGCCAGTTTCCGGCCTCTTCCGGGAAGGACGGAGCCCCCTTTGTGACTGCTGTCCCAGCTCATGCTGAGGGCCAGGCCAAGCTGGAGTCCTCTCTCCTTCCGGCCTCTGTGGGCTCCTAGGGGGTGCTTCTGGGGTAGTTCGTCCTGGGCACTCCGTGGGTGTAATCTGAGTGTTCTCTTTTCCTTCCCTAAGATGACCCTGAGGGCGCCTTTGTACCCCCAGAGTTTGACGTGACTGGGAACACCTTTGAGGTAATTGCTGGCAGGCGGGGCAACTCACCAAGCCGATCCATACCCGTCCCCATCCGTCCCTGGCCAAGGCGTGGTGCTGACCCCTGTGCGGTGGAGCTTGCATGACTCCACAGCACCGTCCGCCCCCCTTTCCCATTGGGAAGGGGTTCATTTCCTTAGAGGGGCAGCCCTTTGGATCACTCACCCCTGCCAGCCACAGTCCTCGTGGCTGGTGCTGGTCGGCCACGTTGGTGTCTGCACAGCAGTGACTTTGGGTGTGTTGTAGTCATTGTGGTTTCACAGTGTGTTTCTGGGAGTGTGACCTGCTCACTTAGCTCTCTGTATCTGAGGTACTGGAAGTACCTCCGATCCCTCGTGGTGACTGGCACCGAGTCGTAGCACCCTCCACCACAGGGCACTGCAGGGTTGGCATGCCTGCCAGTGCCAGGGTGGCCCCTGGTCCATGAAGGGGGATGTGGGTGGAGCCCCTTTGGTGAGAGGCTCACTCTTCTATGCTTGCCGCTTGTGGCTCTTCGGCACTTGAGTCCATCTGTTCATCCTGCAAATACATCTCCACTATGTGCTGTCTTTTCATTTCCTTTAGGGCAGTGGTTCTCAAAGTTTTTGGTCCCAGGACCCCTTATACTCTTAAGACCTGAGAACCCTGAAGAGCTTCTGCTTACGCGGGCTCTGTTGTGCTGTGAATGGCCCACATGCTCAGCTGCTAACCAAAAGGCTGCAGGTTTGAGTCCACACACGGACTAACTGGAAGAAAGCCCTGGGGAGGTATTTCCAAAACTCAGGCATCGGAAACCCTCTGGGTCCCCAGCGTCCATGACCCCGAGACCAGAAGAGCTAGGTGCCCACTGCCGACCACTCTGAGAGGGATCACAATAGGAAGTCCTGGATAAAGTGGGAGAAAAACGCGGAACAAAACTTACAAATCATAAAAAAAAAAAAAGGATAGCTGGTCTGATAGAGACTGCTAGAACCTCCGAGACCATGGCCCTTATCCAGCCTTCAAGCCTGGAACTGCCCCCTGGCTCCACTTTCTGCCAAATGATAAGTCTATGGGGTGAACAATGACACCAGGGAGGTCCCACTCCTTCGAACAGTCAACCATACAGGTCAGAAGGTCAGCATGTGGCCGAGAAGGAAGCTCAGAAGGCAGGAAGGGCTGGGCAGGAAGGATGAAGGGACACGGAGCACAGGGAGGAAGGGCCAGGGCGCTGTGATGTTATAGGGGCTACAGTCAGTGTGTGAATGGTTGAATGGAAAGCCAATGTGCTCTGTTAACTTTCACCCAAATCACAATAAAAAGTTAAGGAGAATAAAACCCTGTGAGCACAGTTCCACTGACACACTTACTTTAAAAATATTTAACTGACAGCAATAAACCCGCTGCACATTAACATATATAACATTTTTATGAAAAATATCTCCAAAAAAAATCATGAGAAGAGGTTGGATGCTGTATGTTTTCAAGTCTCTTTAACGCCCGGGCTAAGGGAAGGCAGGTAGGTTCTCACGGCTGCTTCTGCCTCAGTTGGCTGCAAAATCACACATCTGGGCCCCAGCGACTCCACAGTCACGCTGAGAACGGCACGGAGCAGGTCAGTCAGGTCTCAGTGTGGCTACTGAAATAGTGCTACACCTCGAGCCACACTCTCAGGAACGCAGTTTGGAGGTACCCTTTAATGAAAAATCTTTCTCGGCATTAATATAAAGTCATTCCTGTTTTCTTTTATTGTGTTTAATGTGCGTGTGTCTTAAGAACTTTCCCAACCCCCACGTCTAACAGATAGCTCACTGCCATTGAGGCAAGTCTGACTCACAGTGTCCCTAGAGGACAGAATGGAACTGCCCCACTGGGACTCCAAGGTTACCAATCTTCACAGAAGCCAATGACCTCATCTTTCTCCCACAGAGTGGCTGGTGGGTTTCAACTGTGGGCCTTTGGTTAGCGGCCAAATGCTTTAACCACAGCACCACCAGCGATTCTACGGTCTGACAGATGAACACTGATAACTTCTACCAAGGGTTTTCCAGATACCTTACGCATCTGAAGTTGATTTTTATGGTGTGAGATAGGACCCAATTTCTTCTTCTCCCTGTAGATAACCGTTGGTTTCCAGCTCTGTTTATTACTAGCCCAGGTACATGCCACCTCTGCCATATACCAAGGTTTTACATAAAGCAGGTGTACTTGGGGGGGGTCTCTGTTCTGCCCCAGTGACCCACTTGTTCATCCCTGAACTAGAGCCACATTTTATCACAACCAGCTTCGCAGAGGAGCCCTGTCCTTTCTCAGAAGTGTTCTGCCTTTTTGTGGCCCAAGTCCATGAAAGTTCAGTTGGAATTTTGATCAGGATGGCACCAATTCTAGAGATCAGCCTGGGGAGAGTTGACCCCTTTACAACACACAGTCTCCTCCGTAAACATTTTCCACCTCTCCGTTCATTTGGGTCTTGTTTAATGTTTCTTAACATGTTTGGGCAATCTGCTTCCATAGAGACCCTGCCTCGGAAACCCAAGGCGGGGTCGCTATGAGTGGGATCTGACTTGACAGCAGTGAGTGAGTAAGTTGAATAACTTGTTTAGGTTTTTACTGCCAAGGTCCTAGATCTCTCTCCTTAGATTTAGCCCCAGGAATCAGATGCTGTCTGGTTCTGTTCTAAATTGGGAGCTGTCTGGGTGACACATTTTCATGCTTGTTTGGTGCTGGTCCACAGACTTGCAGGTTACTCTAACTTCTGAGTCTTACATCTGGCCACATTGTTAAATTATTTTGTTATTTCCAGTAACATATGGATTCGTTGAGCTTTTCTATTCAGCTAATCAAGTCACTGGTTTAAATTTTTAAAGGCAGTGTTACCCTCCTGACCAGTACCTCCGCTTTCTGCCCCTTATCCCACTGGGCGCCAGCAGGGGGCGGCAGGGAGGCACTGCAGAGAAGCAGTGTGACTGTCAGTGCCTGTCCCGTCCCAGGGAGAAGTGGCTGCTTCCCCTCTCCTGTCCCCACATCCAACTCACCAGGAGCCCGTGGCTTGGTCTCCAAGGCATAAGTCCATGGGCTTGTGCGACATACCACCATCACAAAATACATATCAGGAGAGAAGGAGCTTTTCCTGTGTGTCAGTAATAGCTGGTGAGAGGAGGCCGAAAGGACTCCATCTGTAGCAGCAAAGGAAGCAGCAGCGAGCTTGGAACAGCTGGAGGTCTAGAGGAAACTCGCTCTTTTCTGCACTTATTTTGAAGGCCAGCCCCAGAGGAACAGTGGGGGCTGATGGCACAGGAGCTGTGGGGACAGGTGCTGCCTGTCCTTAGCTGCTGCTCCAGGCACTGACCAGAGCCCCCTGGGCCCCTGCAGGCCCACATCTACTCCCTGGGGGCCACGCTGAAGGCGGCTGTGGAGTATGTGCCGGAAGCCGAGCTGGAGCCCAAGCTCAGCGTGGACCTGGAGACGCTGCTCAGCCAGATGCAGGCAGAGAAGCCGGGGGACCGGCCCCAACTGGAGGTGAGCCCCACCGCCCTGCACAAGGACATGTCTGCGTGCCCAGCAGGCACCAAGGGCCTCATGCAGGCTCCGCCCAGCCCACCCTGCTGCAGCCTCATCCAGCTGCTCAGCTGGAACCTGGCGGTGGTCCATCGAGTTGAATCCTGACCTTGACGTTTCCTGTGCATTCTGCTGCAAAAGGCTTTGGCTTGCATCCACCGCAGGCTGGATGAATCGCCGGCTTTCTGTGGCCCCAGATGCACCGTTTTCTGTACCAGAAAGTAGCAGTTCCGGGGGAGGCAGGCACTGTCCCTGAGTCCCTACCTCTGACCTTATCCACAGAGTATCATCGCCCTGTGTGAGGAGAGGATGAAAAGTGTGTCTTCCTGCCACCTGTGCCGCAGCCTCTCGGCCCTTGGGAGGAGGGTACTGTCCATCGAGTCTTTCGGAGCACTCCAAGGTAAGTGCACATACACACGCACATGCACACAGACTAACACACACATGTGCATGCACATTCACATATATGCAAACCCATGCGCACACGACATGCACAGCTGTGCACATGCATAGACCCATGCATGCACATGTGCACATTCACTGAGACCTATGCACATGTATGATGTGCACACACGATGTGCATGTACTTGCACATACATGTGCACTTGCAGAGATCCATGCACATGACATGCACACGTGTGCACATGCAGAGAGACCCATGCACACACACATATAGTCACTCAGACCCATGCACACACATGTGATGTGTGCACATGTACGTGCACACGTGTATCCACATGCATAAGCCCATGCACATGCATAAACCCATGCACACACATGCAATGTGCACAGATCACGTGCACATGCACACAGAGACACATGTACATGACATGCACATAGTATACATGCACACAAACCAAGCAACATACATACACATGCACACACAGAGATCCATCTACACATGTGTACCCTCACACAAACACTCACATAGACCCATGCACACACACATACACATACACACAGGCACACACAGACTGATGCATACACAGTCACAGACACACTCATGTGTATACACACTCACACACATACACATAGACGAGTACATGCGCATGTACAGACATGCACACAGGCACACACACACATTGCCATACACGGGCAGGCACATGCCCTCACTCACATATGGGGTGCTGGTCCAGCAGTGGCATGCACTCTGGGGGAGGCCTGCACCCAGCATGATGTGAAAACCACAGGTGACAGAGGGTGACAGGAGCCGTCCGGGGAGGCCTGGCCCGGGATCACCCAGGGTGGGGCAGGGCAGGGCTGGGCTATCTGACCTCCTTCCTGGGATGCAGCACTGTGAACTCACAACCGAACATCCACATGCTTTCTTGGTCGAACAATTAGGCAGCCAAAGGCCCGGCAGGAAACTCCTGCCGGAGCTCTGCCTGCCGAGGGAGAGAGCAGCAGGAGCCCTTTCAGAGCCTTCCAGGGCCTCATTAATTGGCAGACTGGGGGACTAATGAGGCGAGAAAGTTGCTGGGCGGGCTCTAAGGAAGACTCTGGGGCTGGGAGCCCGAGAGCAGCCCCACCCCCCGAGTCCCTGTGCTCAGGGGTCTTTGCAGTGAAGGTCTCAGGTCCGTGCTCTGGCAATGACCCCACTCTCCCTGGCACAGATGTCAGTGAGAACACCTGGATGGGGAGATTCGCACCCAGAAGTGCGGGGCCCAAGGGGCAGTCTGGGAACCGTGGCGCTGACCCCAAAGTCCAGCAAGCCCTGCAGGGCCTGCCTGTGGGTGGCCCTGGCAGCCCTCAACAGGAGAGCAGCTGGGGTGTCTATCCCCCACCCTCGAAGCCCCTGCTCTCAGCACCTGTGAGAAATGGCGAGAGTGACATGGAGGGGCCATGCTCGGACCGGCTGGCCGGCCTCCTGCTGGACACCAGGGGCCCCCTGGGCGACCTGGACCGCGGCCCGCTCCGGAGGAACCGCCTAAGGAAGGTACAGAGCTTCCCCCGGCTCCTGGCCGACGGCCCCGAGGCCAGCGCCCTCTGCCTGTCTCTGACTGGAAGCCAGCGTCCAGTCCCGGAGCTGCTCCCTGGGGACTGCAGGAAGATCTTCCCGGAGGGGAAGAATGGGCTGCTGGACTTCAAGGCACTGCCCAAGTATGGACTGTGGCCTGAGGGAAGACCTGAGTCCCAGGATGAGGCCCAAGGCACAGGTGGCCGCAGGGACAGGGGGACCCTGCCTGGGATTGGTCCAAGCGGTGGCTCTGGGCTGGGAGGCCCCAGCCAGGGAGGGGCAGCCAGTCCCCCAGAACAGCCAGCGGAAGAGAGGTGCCCTCAGCCAGATGGTGCATCGTCCTGCCTGGGCCCGGGCCCTGCTGAGGAGGGCCCCCCACCCCATCCCGTGGACCTTCAAGGCACAGGCAGACCTCACTACAATGCTGTGGAAGCTCTGGAAGGAGCCAGCCAGCCTGGAGGCATAGCCACGGAGCAGGTGAGTGCCCATCTCCCCTCAGCGTGCACTATGCTCCTTTTCCCCAGGAAAATGGCCGTATCCCCACTCTTCTCCAGGAACTGCCCCACTCTGAAGCATGTGAATACAGCCTGACTTGCTGTGTGGCCTCCCTGGGGTGGGCAGCTCTCACCCTGGACACAGACACGCAGCCATGCTGGCACCCACTGTCATCGGCACCCACTCTGACCGGCACCCACTGTCACTGGCACCCACTGTCACCAGCACCCACTGTCATCAGCAGGAGTGCACTGCGGGTCCCAGTTTTCTTGCTAGAAGAGCAGATAGGGAACAGCCCCCCGGGACTACGTCCCGGCAGCCCCCGTCCCTCAGGGCTGTACCAGGACCTCCGATCTGGTCTGTGGCAGCCGGTCCTGACTCAGCTGTGTTCCTACGCCAGGGTTCCTGTGGGCACAAGTGGGCCTCGGCTGCCCAGCAGCTCCTAACCCCAAGGTGGGGGATAAGTGAGGCTTCAGGTCTCCCTCTTTGTTGTCTCAAACATTAGAGCCATCGCGCCAGTGTAGAGTGTGCATGGTCAGGCTTGGTCACAGCCACCAGCAAGCCCAGAGCTACTTGCCTGGGGTCTCTGCAGCTCTCTGGAGCAGAGAGGCCCTTGCTGGCCTGGGAAGTCCACCGACCACCAGGTGGTTCCTTCATTCTAAGTGCTGCCTGTGGTCTCAGCCCTGCCTGGGGACAGCGAGGGCCCCGGACAATCCAGAAGTGGGGTCAGGGTCCCTGAGCCAGGCGGCATTCAGCAGCCCCTGCTCCACCCTGGGAGGGTCAGCACCGACCCAGAGCTGGGTGGGGAGTGAAGCCAGCCCCCTGCCTAAAGCCACACTGCAGGGCATAGGCCAGGGCCTCCAAGCTCAGAAGCCCCATGTGGAAGGGACATGCTTGGTGAGGGGAGCAGCCTCCAGACCCAGTGCCGGCAAGGGGACACAGACACGTCACTGGACACCACCCTGGTCATTGGAGGGCCAGGAAGAGCTGTGCCCCAGTGGGCCGTGCAGGAGGGTGAGGAGGACACTGGCTTCCGGAACCTTCCCAATACGTGCACTTGGACACCCTGTGCCCGGTGGCCTCAGATAAGGAGCCTCGATCTCGTGAACACTGTGGTCCACAGCCTTCTCCAGCGCGTGGTGTGGTGAGGTGGGGGCCACCCTGTCCTGACCGCCACCCTCTCCCCGCACAGTGGGTGGCCCTGCAGGACCTCCTGGTGAAGCTCGGCCGGCCCTTCCGTGAATATGAGCTGTGGGCATTGTGCCATGAGAGCCTCCACACGCTGCAGACCTACATCGAGTTCCCAGGTAGCTGCTGTGGTCCGTGAACCGCCCTGGCCCTGAGCCACTGAGTGTAGTCTGTAGTGACCTCAGGGCCGTGGAGGCGGTGGAGGGGCTCAGGACAGGTACTTAAACCCCTGCTGAAAGACATGCAGCCCCACTGTAGCCCTGATGGGGTGACATCATCCCCAAAGAGGCTAAAATTGGTTCTGGGGGGAGGAGGGGAATCTTAGATGTCACAGAACTTCATCATCTCAAAGCTCAGCCCTGGATGATGTTATAGAAGGTGTGGGGGAGGGGAAAACAGTGTGCACAGGGCCTCCTGGGGGAAGCAGTTATGAGAGACACTACTGTCAGTCAACCAGCCCCCCACTGTGCCACCATGACGCAGGATGGGGCCTGTGACCCCCCTCAGGCTTCCCCAGGCCCTGTCCCCTCAGCCATTGTCCCCTCTCCCCTCATCTTCTTGGAGCTCAGAGCACAGGCAGCCCCGTGTAGCCAAGTGGTGTCCAGCCCTCCCTGGGTTGGTAGGAGCAGCGGCTCTGAGGGGCCTGCCTGGGCAGGATGCTGCTTCACGCAGCCCTGGGGTGACACTGGTGGGCTCCCCATGTGCTGGGAGGCTGAGAGGGCTCCCTGCCCTGGACTGGGTGGCACAGCCCTCAGGAGACGGCCTCGGGGCATGCGGTGGACGGGTGGGCGCTTGATGCCACACTCTCCCGCAGCCTACCTGTGTCTGGACTCCGTGCTGATCGCCGAGGATGGCGCAGTGCTCTTTGGGACGTCCCCGGCCAGTGGTGCGTATGGGCTCACGGGGCTGCGCACGGGGTGACTTTGCTGCAGCTGATGGCAAAACTGACCCAGGTCTGGGGTCTTCTCTCTCAGGCTCGTACAACTCACTTTTCCTGGCTCCCGAGGTCACAGAGGAGAAGCTGGTGACAGAAAAGGTAACCAGACCTCCCCTGCACTCCCTGCCCAACCCAAGGCCCACAGACCCTGGCAGCCAGGCTCTTCCCACTCCCACCTCTCCTGTCTAAGGGAAGGAGAGGGGGTGGGCGTGGTGTTGGGACCCAGTGAGATCGGGGCAGGTCCCTGGAGAGCACCATATGTGCCCAGTGCTCTGCACATACAGTGGGAAGTAGGGTGCACGGGGCCACCTCTCCTGGCTGGCAGGAGCCAATAGCAGTTGTTAGAAAGTCATCACTAAGTTAAACAAACTCATGATTACATTAATTAAAGCCAAGGCCGAGCTTCCACTTCCGTTCCTCCTGCACCAACCGGAATCCCACCCGTCCACCGCATGCCCCAAGGCCATCTCCTGAGGGCTGTGCCACCCAGTCCAGGGGAGGAGAAAAGGCAGACCAACTGAGGACCTCAGGAGAGAAGCAACACCACAGTGAAGTCTCAGACATCCCAGACTAGGACTGAAGAAGCCAGCAGGTCAGAAACACCAATGGATGCAGACAAAAAGCCCTATACCAGCCAGCTCCTTGTGGCCAAAGGACCAGGAAAGGGGCGGTCCAGCGTAACAGACAACCATCAGACAGACACCGCAGGGAAAACCAGCCCTGCCCACACCAGTAAAGGCCAAGTGGGAAGCCTGGACTTCTGCCCTCCCCAGTGGGACCAAGGCCCCCAACTTCCCCACTGGGGTGCTGTCAGAGGAGGCTGAGCAGGGGCCAGGAAATTCATCTCCACCAGATGGCAGCATAAGATGGGGCAATCCACTTCCGTAGTGATACTGCCTCGGAAACCCAAGAAGGGGTCGCTATGAGTCAGGTCTGACTCGATGGCACATAACAACAACAACAACAACAGATGGTAGTGAGGGTCCTACCCCCCAATGGCATTGGAGACCACATGGGGAGCCTGAACTTCCACCCCCAGATGTAACAAGGCCCCCAATTCCCCCTCCAGAGGAGGCCTCATGGAGAGTCAGGGCCCTCACCACCACCATCTGGTGGCACCTTGACCCCCTGCGATGTCCTCAGAGCCACACAGGGAGTAGCAGTAGGCCGTCTACCCCTCTTAGCCAAGGAGGTATCAGTGGGAACCTAATGGGGAACTGGCACTCCCCCCGCTGTCCAGCAGTAACGAGGAGCCACTCCTTACATGTCAACGAACCTGGACTTGAACCGCCACCTGGCAGTGATGAGGTGGCACCCTCCCGTCCCCTGCCAAAAAGGTGTCAGAGAAAGCCGACTAAAGGAGAAGACTTAAGTAAGATCCAGAGTCTTAGAACATAATACAAAATATCCAGTTCTCAGTAAAAAAAAAACACTCATTACCCCAAGAACCAGGAAGACTTCAAACTGAATGCAAAAGATGACCAACACATGCCAACGCTGAGTGACAGACTTTAAACAGCAAAATGCCTCAGCAAACAATTACAAACACACCTGAAACCAATGGGAAACTAAAGACCCAGCACAGAATTCCACATCCTTCAGGAATAGAGGGAAAGTCAAGGCATTCTCAGATTGAAAAAAAAAAACTCAGGAAATTTGTCACAACAGATGTACCTTGAAAGAATGGCTAAAGGAATGTCTCTAGCTCAAAAAAATAAAATAAAGGAATGTCTCTAAACAGAAAGGAAACAATAAAGGAAGAACTTTAGACTGTCAGGAAGGAAGAAATGAGGGACTGAGAAAAATGAGGATCAATACAATAGACGCTCCACCACCTCTTTAGTATTCTAAATTTTGTGTGATTGCTCAAGTGAAAATTTAATCTGCTCGAAGTAGCTCTAAATGTACGTAGAGGACATATTAAGACAACTACATTATGAATGGAAGAGAATAAAAACCCACCCATTGCTACGAGTCATTTCCAACTCAGAGTGACCCTGTACGACAAAGGAGAACTGCCCACAGGTTTCCAAGGCTGCAATCCACTACAGAACAGACTGCCACATCCTTCTCCCATGGAGTGGCTGGTGAGTTTGAACCACTGACCCTTTGGTTAGCAGCCAGCTGTTTAACCCCTATGCCACCAGGGCTCCTTATGAATGGGGAACAGTTGTTGTTCTTGTTGTTAGGTGCCATCGACTCAGTTCCAACTCGGAGTGACCCCATGTCCAATGGAACAAAACACTGCCCAGTCCTGTGCCATCCACACAATTGTCGCCGTTGGAGCCCATTGTTGCAGCCACTGTGCCAATCCATCTCGTTGAGGGTCTTTTTTTTTCTCTGATTTCTCAACTCTACCAAGCATATGGTGTCCCTCCCAATAACATTTCCAAAGTACATGAGGTGAAGTCTCACCATCATCACTTCTAAAGAACATTCTGGCTGCACTTCTTCCAAGACAGATTTGTTTGTTCTTCTGGCTTCTTGTTGTTAGGTGCCGTTGAGTCAGGTCCAACTCAGAGCAACCCTACGTACAACAGAATGAAAGGGCACCGTCCTCGCAATCACTGCCCTGCCTGAGCCCATGGTTGCAGCCACTGCGTCAATCCATCTCCTCTTTTTCACTGCCCCTCTACTTTGCCAAGCATGATGTCCTTCTCCAGGGACTGGTCTCTTTGGACAACATGACCAAAGTTTGAGGCAAAGTCTCACCTCACTTCTAAGGAGCATCCTGGCTGTCCTTCATCCAAGACAGATTTATTCATTCTTCTGGCAGTTGTGGTATATTCAATATTCTTCACCAACACCAGAATTCAAATCCATCAATTCCTCTTTGGTCTTCCTTATTCATTATTCAGCTTTTGTATCCATATGAAGCAACTGAAAATACCATGGCTTGGGTCAGGCACACCTTAGTCTTCCAAATGACATCTTTGCTCTTTAACACTTTAAAGAGGTCTTTTGCAGATCTTCCCAAAGTTCTTGACTGCTGCTTCCATGGGCATTGATTGTGGATCCAAGAAAAATGAAATCCTTGACAACGTCAATCTTTTCTCCATTTATCATGATGTTGCTTATTGGTCCAGTTGTGAGATTTTTTGCTTTCTTTATGCTGAGATGTAATCCATACTGCAGACTGTAGTCTTTGATCTTCATCAGTAAGTGCTTCAAGTCCTCTTCACTTTCAGCAAACAAGGTTGTGTCATCTGCATATCACTAGTTGTTAATGAGTCTTCCTCCAATCCTGATGCTGTGTTCTTCTTCATATAGTCCAGCTTCTCAGATTATTTACTCAGCATACAGATTGAATAAGTATGGAGAAAGGATAACACACATTTTTCCTGACTTTAAACCACACAAAATCGCCTTGTTCTGTTTGAATGACTGCCTTTTGGTCTATGTACAGGTTCCTCATGAGTACAATTAAGTGTTCTGGAACTTCCATTCTTTGCAATATTATCCATAATTTGTTATGATCCACATGGTCAAATGCTTTTTCATTATCAATAAAACACAGGTAGAATCTTTCTGGTGTTTTCTGCTTTCAGCCAAGACCCAGCTGACATCAGCAATGATATCCCTTGTTCCACATCCTCTTCTGAATCCAGCTTAAATTTCTGGAAGTTCCCTGTCAATGTACTACTGCAGCAACCATCTTTGAATTACCTTCAGCAAAATATTATTTGCGTGTGGTATTATTGATATCGTTCTATAATTTCCACATTCTGTGGGATCACCTTTCTTTAGAACGGGCACAAATATGGATCTCTTCTGGTAAGTTGTCTTCCATCCAGGTAGCTGTCTCCTAAATTTCTTGGCATAAATGAGTGAACGCTTCCAGTGTTGCATCCATTTGTTGAACCATCTCATTGGGTTGTCAATTCCCAGGGCCTTGTTTTCCACCAATCCTTCAGTACAGGTCGGACTTCCTCCTTCAGTGCCATCAATTCTTGATCATATGCTACCTTCTAAAATGGCTGATGTCACCCAATCTTTTTGGCACAGTGACTCTGTGTATTCCTTCCATCTTCTTTTGATGTTTCTTCCATCATTCAATATATTGCCCACAGAATCCTTCAATATTGCAACTTGAGGTTTGAATTTTTTCTTCAACTCTTTCAGTTTGAGAAATTCCAAGCACGTTCTTCCTTGTGGTTTTCTAACTTCACTTTGCCTTCTCGAGCTGCCCTTTAAAAGTTTCTGTTCAACTCTTTTACTTCATCATTTCTTCCATTTGCTTTAGCTACCCTATATTCAAGAATAAGTTTCAGAGTCTCTTCTGACATCTATTTTGGCCTTTTTTTTTTTTTTCTTTCCTGTCTTTTTAATGACCTTTTGTTTTCTTCACGTAATGGCCTTGATGTCATCCCACAACTCCTCTAGCCTAAGCTGTCAATCTTTGTGCATTTCATTTCATTTCTGACAACTAAACAACACACTTCTAAATAATCCATAGGTCAAGGAGGAAGTCTCAATGAAAATTTTAAAAAATACATTGAATTGAATGAAAATATAGCATGTCAAAACCCATGAGCTAAAGTGGCACTAAGAAGGAAATTCATAGCACAATACACTGTATGGTAGAAGAGAGAAAAAGTCTCAGTAGTTTAAGCTCCCACCTCAAGAACCTAGACAAGGAAAAGCAAAACAAACCTAAAACAAGCAGAAGGAAGGAAATAATAAGGATGATCGCAGAAATCCATGAAACTGAGAACAGAAAAAGTAGGAAAAATCAAGGAACTCAAGCTGGTTCTTCGAAAAGATCAATAAAATTGACAAACTTCTAAGAAGCAAGACTAACAATGAGGAAAGAGAGAAGATACAAGTGAGCAGTATCAGGAATGACAAGAAGACATCATCACAGACCCTGCAGACCTCACAAGGATCATAAGGGATCCTACAAATAGCTTTCCACCCATAAGCTTGACAACTTAAATGAAATGGACCAATTTCTTGAAAAACACAAACCACCCCAACTCACCAAATATGAAATTGATCAGTTGAATAGCCCATAGCTATTAAGGAAGCTGAATCTATCATTTAAAAACTCCTAAAGATAAATCACTAGGTATGGATAGCTTCACTGCAGAATTCTACCAAATATTTAAAGAAGTCACACCAATTCTAAACCATCTCTTCCAGAAAACAGAAGAGGGACTACACCAGCTCCTCACTTCCTGACATAGTTAGATTCCGAAGGCCAGGTCGTTATGTGAAAATGGAGGATCATCACACCAGATCACAAATGCAGGAGGACTGCATCACTGCATGACTGCCACCATTACGTAATGACACCACTACGGAAATGCCCAACCTCTGAGAATCATGGCCCAGCCAAGCTGACACAGAACTTTAACCAACACACCTTGCACCTCGGCGTTCATTACTATCAGATGTTAAGTCGTTAACATGCAAAATAGCTGAATAGTAGGTGTTTTGCTGCTGTTGTAAATGCAGAAGGTCGGATAACAAGATAGTCACTAAGTGAGTACCAGGTGTACTTCCCAATTCATTTTATGAAACTAGCTTTACTCTGATATCAGAAGCAGACAGAGACAGTACAAAAACAAATTACAGGTCGGCATCCTTTATGAATATAGATGCAAGAACACGGCTGAGACCTCAGTGGGCCGTCCCCTTTCATTCTCCTCACTCACTGCAACAACTCGGGGAGTGTGAAGGAGCTGGTCAGTTCACACCCCAGGCTACACTGGGCCTCAGGGCCTGTCCTCTGGCTCAGATCCCTGCGAATCAGTGGTGTGCTGAGAAAACGTAACAGCCAGCTCTCTGAACACTGTGTGCTTCTGTGGACACACAGACACTTAGTACAAACATAACTGACACCAAGGGTGTGTGGCACACGACTCACCAGTAACAAGATGACGTGGCACTGCTCCTGGTAGAACATCCACAGGCCCAGGTGATCCCCATCCTCCAGGAGCTTGCCTTGACTTCCGCCCGGCCCTGTGCTCACCACCCACCAATGACACAGGGGCATGACGCTCACGCGAACATTGGTGGATATTTTCTTTATCTCAGGAAGATGAAACAAAACAGGACCGGAACGTCACACATTCCACGTGACATTCTAGGATGATAGTGGTTGGCAACGGGACAGCATTTCCTTAAGGTTTGCTGCCTTTCGCACTATAACAGCTGCAGACCTGTGCTTGTTAATTGTGTCCATCATTAGCATTTTATACTTCTCTTCATTAAGTCAATCCACAAGACAACACAGCAAGCCCAGCTTTGGGGCCTTTGCCAAGTCTATGCGCTAAATATTCCCACGTGACTGAACCTCCTGGGTCCTTGTTAAACATGCAGATTCCCAGGTTCCAATGCAGGAGGTTTGGGGGGCAGAAGAGGAAACTGAGGGCCCGCCCCGACTCTGGCTGGTCTCACGGTGCACGTCAGGAGCCACTCTGTGAAGGCTACGCCTTTGGGGCCGCCAGGGCAAGGCAGCATCTGCTGGGCGTGGCTGGGCCCCTCGGTGTCCCCATCACCCTCTCTCCACTCACCCAGGCCTCCGTGTACTGTGTGGCCGCCGTCCTGTGGACCGCAGCCAGATTTAGCATGCCTCGTGACCACAAGCTGGCCCTGCCACGCAGACTCAAGGCTCTCCTCTTGGACATGGCCAGATGTAGCCCCCAGGAGCGGCTGTCTGCAGCCGAGGCCATCAAGGTAACCACACTGTGACTGCACTGCGACTGGGGTGCTGGGCCTCCACTGCTGAGCTGGGCACGAGGGCTCAAGGGAGCCAGGACACAGGTTTGGGGCAGGAGCCACTGGATGCAGGAGGGGTGGGCTTCATTTTACCTACCACATTGCCCTGGCCACCCATGTCACCGAAGCTTCCTCCCGACTGGGGGTGAGGACGGTGTGGCCTGGGCCAAGCACTGGTCAGCTGCCCTGCGACCCCACCTGATTTCCCCTCCCGCTCAGTTCCCGCAATACAGGTTGCCTCCTCTGAGTCCCCTCCCAGCCTCACACCCTTAGCTCATGAAGTCAGCGTGGCCTCGCCTCACCCGCTGGACCATGGATCCCAAGCTGGGAGACAGCTAGAGCTGAAGCCCCAGCCCCCCTCTGGCAGGTAGAAGCAGGAGACAGAGTGGGGAGGCCCTTGCTGTTGGGGTGGCAGGATAGGGCCCATGCAGTGGGAAGACGGCTTTGGGGCAGAACCGTGCTGGAGCGTGGGCCAGGTGCTCACCCCTCTGGCCTTGCTGGCTCCCCATCAGGTGAGGATGACCTACCAGGGTCCCCACCATGAAAGGGCGCAGGGTGCCTGTGAGGGCTCCTTACATGCTAGCCAAAAAAGAAAACGACTCTTTGTCTTCTCCACACCTCCTGGACCGCCCGTTGTTCCTCTTCCCCACACTGGCCCTTCTAGAGTCCTGACCAAACACGAGTGCTTCATAGTGACTTTTTGCCCCAAATATCAGAAGGTCTAGCCCTGCAGAATCAATGCTAGGGCCATGGCCTGCCCCACACCCACCACACCCTCCAGGGCATAGTGCCTGAGGGCCGAGCCCTTCACTACAGAGCCACATAAGGGGTGACAAGTGCCTGGCCTCACCGTGCTGGGCCTGGGAGATCAGCCGCATTCACACTGATCTTGTCATGGCTGCCACCTGGCTGGCCAGGTCCCAGAGGACCTGTGCTTAGCTGTGAAATTATAGCATCTCCCAAGCCTCACTTGTCTGTTTTTCAGGCTGCAATTTCGGAAGCATTTTGTGTGTGTGTGTGTGTGTGCGTGCGCGCGCGTGCACTGGTGGATTCTGACCCCATTCTGCCAGGGATTTACAATGTCACCCTTTCTGTAGTTCTTCAAGGGACAGCTGCAGGCACTCCACGTTCCCCTATCCCATCTTCCATGAGACCCCAGGTGCCTGGCCCCTCTGTGGTGGCTGTCAGCAAGGCAAGTCCACCAGGCTCGCCAGCCAGCCCTGAGGGAGGAGACAGGCAGTTTTTGTTCAGTTTTTATTCCTAGGCTGAAGGCAGGACTGAAAGCTACGTGCACGGATGCAGAAATTCATGCCTGTACACCCAAAGTCTGGGGTGCCCCCAAGAATAAAGCACCCACCAGGCTCTCCTGTCCCACCATCCTGTGACAGGGTACCTTCTGGAGTTGGCGGTGTCCACACACACTCTCCCCCACTGGGCACTAGCTGGCACCTGAGCCGCCTGTCCTGTACCTGATTGTCCACTGGGTCCTCTTTCCAGGTGAGCAACAGCTACCTCCTTCAACGAGGCATGGACAGCAAGAAGATTCTAGCCCACCTGAGGGGGTCTACCTGTAAGGTAAGACGAAGGTTCCCAAAGCATGCTGCCTAGGGCTTTAATGGGCCCTTGGCACCCAGGGAGATGAGGCTCTAGGTTTTGAAGTGTTTACTGTCACGTTTTTGTAGAATTCAGGGCACAGAGATCATGACTACTGGATGATACTCTGCACCTTCTTAGATTGGCCCTGGGGGGCACCAGCTCTCGGGGTGCTATCTGCCGCTCCCACCTCTGGCCCTCAGGGTCTGTGGTGGTCAGCAGCAGTTACAGACATGCCTGTCAGCCTCCCTGGCGCTGTGGGCAGGGCCAGAGCAGTGACGGTGACCCGCAGCACAGGCAGGGACACGACCCCCAGGCACCTGACATCCCCATCAAGCATCTAGGTGTTGGGGTTCCAAGTAACACAGGGTTCGACTCTGGCACCGTCGTCCCATCCCCCAGCAACCGCTTCATCTGTTGGCAAAGCATGTCATCAAGGTTCCTGCTGCAAAGAAAACCAAGCTCTGCCTGCTGGCCTCCCACCAGCCATGCCAGCTCCCCTCCACCCCAGACCCCGGAGCTGCAGGCCCAGCCCAGCCTCCTGAGCCCCCAGCCCCCCACAGCTCCAGGCCTCCCTTGACCCCCGAACTGCAGGCCCAGCCCCACCCCACCTCCTGAGCGTGCTCTGTGTGAGGGGCAGAAGACCGGGGTGCACCAGAGTGACGGTGTGCCTCCTCATGGGGCTGCCTTTCTGCATGAAGGCGCTGACTGAGTGCGTCTGCCCCAGGTTTACCAGGAGGAAGAAACAATCAGCCTCCAAAATCCCTTCTCGATGGCTGACCTGGAGCCGCACACGGCGCCTCCTCCAGAGCCCAGCGCAGGTGGGGTCCCGGGCCGGCCTCCTCTCTCAACCTCAGCCACCAGCCCTGGCATCCCCACCCTCACGTGCACATGAGCCTGACGGGACACACAGGACCACGAGTCCAGAACTCACCAACACAGAGCCCAACCACCTTCCTGGGGGATCTGGCTTTATCCTGTGTCCTGAACTGCAAGTGGCGCAGGCTACGTGAGCGGTGTCACTACGGGCGTGAGAGGGTGCAGAGGGTACCCTCTGACACTGTCAGAGGGGGTCACACCAAAATGACCCCAGGGTCCAGGGCGGTGGCAGGGGTGGCAGCAGCGGGTGGGCTGGCATTGCAGAGGGCAAGGCCACCAGGCAGAGGCCTCATTAGGGCTGATGTCAGTACAGTGACTTGTCACCACCCTGGCCCTCTCACCCTACACCCACGCTCCCCCACCAGCCGCCAGTCAGGGACGAGTGGGTGGGCTGCAGCACCTGCCGTTTGGTGGGCACTTCCGGGAGCTGCAGGGGACGGGGCCACGAGGGGCGGGGCTGAGCAGCGTGGCTCTTGGGTGGGGTGGGCCAGGCTGCTCTGCCCACCGGGGTGGCTTCGTTAGCCTGCTTGTCCACGAGGGTGACACCAGTCCTTCTGCCACCACTGGGCCACGCTCAAATGCCTCTGCTCCCCCACCCCCAGGCCTCTTCCGCAGGCAGCCGCTAGGTCCCGCCCCCTCCCCCTGCCCAGCAGGTCCGTGGGAGCCCCCTGTCTGTGTGTGCCCTTTCTGGACTTTTCCGTCACAACCAAAAGATGAAAATAAACAACACGGTCGTCATCAAGTCCATCCCCTCCCATAGCAGCGCTGTGGGAACAGAGCAGAACTGTGCCCGGGAAATTTACAGGACCCTAAATCTTTCTCCCCCAGATGGGCTGGTGGGTTCCAACCTTTGCTAGCAGCCGAGTGCTTAACCAGGGCACCTTGCCATGTCTGCAGTCGCCCCTAAATTATCCCTCTCCCAGCCCCTGGGCGTTCTGGCCTGTCTGGCCTGTTGCCATCCCCAGCCCGCCCTTTCCCCTCATGGCCCCCTCTGGGCTGTCACCCTTTTCCCGCACCAAGTCTGCCCCTAGAGAAGGTGTCATTGGGGGGACAGCACGGTCCCAGGCACAGAGGCGGCACTGGGGGCTGTGACCACACCACACGGTCGTCCTGATGAGGCTTGTCGCCAGGTTTCGTGCCCGTCGGCAGGGACGCCAGGCTGGCTGCCGTGCGGGGACCCGTGCCGGGCAAACTCACCTCAGGCACCGAAGCCGGAGCGCTGCCCACTGCGTTCACGTCCGCCGCCACGCACTTCAAACCCATCCTTCTGGCGCAGGACGCAGCGTGAGTGCCGCCGCCGTGGGGCTGGGAGGCTGGGGGCGCAGGGCCTCCCTGAGCGCTCTACCTCGTCCTGCCGCAGGGATGAGCGGGCTCTGGGCCCGGGATCCGCCGAGAGACCCGAGGAGAGGCGAGGCAGGGAGGGCAGGGGGACGCTGGTTCCCGAGGCCCACGAGGCGGTTACCAGCACCAACACGCCTGAGAGGCCTGCGCCGGGTGCGGAGCCACGGGACGCAGCCCCGGAGCAGCCGGGAGAGTCGGCGGAGGAGCGCTCCTGCCCTGCATCCCCCGTCCCAGCCCACCGGCCGGCAGAGAGCGCGACCTCGCAGACCCCCAGCTCCCCGGTCAGGGCTTCTCCACCCGCCTCACCCGGGAAGGCACAGGCCCAGCCGGAGCAGAGGCCCGAGGAGCCGACCCGGCGAGGGGCCACTTCCGGGGGCCCCGGACCTGCGCCTCCGGGAGCCCCCGCGGCCAGCCTCGGCCCACGCCGCCTGCCCAAGGCGGCCAGGGGCACTGCCGCTGAGCTCCCGGACCAGGAGCCCGAGGGCCCCCGAAGGGCCGCACAGGCCAGCCCAAATGGCCCCCGGGGCTCCTCGGGCCGAGAGCGGCCCAGGCCCGCCGACCGCCGTGGGTGCCCCACGGGCGCGGACACCGCTCCCCTGCAAAGGACGGCCTGCCCTTCGCTGCAGGAGGCCATGCGCCTCATCCAGGAGGAGTTCGCCTTCGACGGCTACCTGGACAACGGGCTGGAGGCCCTGATCATGGGTGCGCCAGGACGCCGGCCGCAGAAGAAAGCCGGGCACTGGGGGAGCTCCAAGTCAAGGGAGGGCGGGGCCGAGACCTGGGAGAGGTGTGGGGCGGGGTCGAAGCCTGGGAGCGGTGCAGGCCAGAGCCCAGAGTCCCACCTGAGACCCCGCCCCACTCCCCCAGCCCAGAGCCCCGGGCGCCCCTCCACCCCCAGCCCGGAACCCAGCTCTTGAGACCACAGAGTGACGTAGGTGATCATCAAGATGTGCTTGCCAAGGGGAAAAAAAAAAAAAAAAACCTCACTGCCTTTGAGTCTATCCGATTCATAGTGACCCCTCCTTGGGTTTGCAAGGCGGTATCACTAAGGGAAGTAGATTGCCCAACCTTCCTTCTGAGGAGTGGCGGGTGGGTTTGAACCGCCAGACTTCTGGTTAGCAGTCAGATGCCTTAGGCACTATGCCACCACATCAAACCTCCCTGGCATGTTTTCCAACCAGGGGAGTACATTTTTGCCTTGAAAGACCTCACGTACGCCACATTCTGCAGCGCCATCTCAGAGAAGTTCTGTGACCTTTACTGGGACGAAAAGTTACTGCAGAGCCTGTTCAAGGTGGTGAACAGGACGACATCACCCTCAGAGAGGTGGGCACCCTCCTGGAGGTGGAACCCCACAACGACCCTGTGTACCTGAGCCCAGGGCTCAGTTCTCCCCCCTCTGTGTGCATGGTGACCGTCACAGGGGCCGCCCCTGAGGGCTCAGTCAGCCCTGCTTCCCACAGCTTTCCCAAATTCCTTCTGGAAGTAAGGGCTCCCGGGAGTCACAGTAGGGGCCAGCTCGGCCTGGCGGCTGAAGGTGGTCTGGGTATCCACACACCCACTGAGAAGGGAGGCCTAGGCTACTCTGGATTCTGTCGAGAGACCCCAAGAAACTATTGACCCCACAGCCTGACTGCCGCCAACGTCCAGCTCAGCTGTCCTAGGTGATGCTGACCGGTCTGCACTGGCAGTGAGGGCACCCTGGGGAGGCAGCAGGCACTACAGCCACAAACTCAACTCACTGCCTTCAAGTCGATTCGACTCACAGCAACCCTTCCTTGGGTTTCTGAGGGTTTCCAAAGTGTTATCTCTACGGAAGTAGATTGCCCAGCCTTCCTTGTGAGGAGTGGCTGACGGGTTTGAACCGCCAGCCTTCTGGTTAGCAGTCAAAAGCCTGTCAAAAGCTCATTCACCCTAAGGGGACCTGCCAAAAGTGCATTCACCCTAAGGGTGCGTCATCACCGGGGGTGCTGTGGGATGTCTGCTCCGCTCCCCAGCGGGGCCCACATGGCGGTGAGACCGGGAGGCCCCCAGGTGAGCCTGCTGTGACCCTTTGACCACCAGTGTTTCGGAGGAGGCCAGGCAGCAGCCCGAGGGCGGCGTCCAGACCAGTGTGCCCAGCAGCTGCTCCCCATCCAGCAGAAGACCCTCAGGGCCCAGGCCTGGTAAGAGACAAGGTCCACAGGGGCGAGGCAGGGCATCTGCCCCCAGCCGGGGCTGCTTCCCGGGAGCCCCCAGCCCAGCCCCAGATCTGCCAGGAGTCCAGAGAGAGCTTCGCAAGCGTCTTCCGCAGAACCCCGCCCTCCAAGGCCCCCTACTAGCCTGGGATGCCCCTCAGCTGAGAACCTTGTCATTTCCAGAGGTCCAGGCTGAAGACTGCAAGAGGGGCTGGAGAGGGCAAGGGGCAGGGCTGGGCAGGGGCGGGGCTCTTCAGTTAGTGGGCAACCAGGGGTGGGTAATAGGCACTGAGCCCTGTTTGGGTAATCAGGAGCTGGCAAGCTTTTGTGGGGGGTCTGAGAGTCCATGGGTTCCGGGAGTCCTGGGGAGCCCCTGGAGTCCAGGCCACCCCACACAGGCGGCAGGCTCTGAGCATGTACCTGGGCATTTGTGAGATGTGACAGAAAGCTGGGGTTTGTTTCAAATATTCCAGAAGGACAGATGGGATGGATCTGGGGAGGTGAGGGGGCACAGTCGGTACCCACTGTGTCCAGGGCTGCCATATGGCAGACCCCGTGCCCTGTTCTGTGCCAAAGTCCAGTGGGAAGTTTCAAAAACAAAGTGCAAACATCCAGAAAGGAAAGCCCCATCCCGCCTGCCCCCCGTCACGATCCCTCCAACACATCTCCAGGGAACATCTCCAAAGCACTCTCATCCCAACCTGAGGAACAGCAGGTTTGGGAGAGGGGCCCAGGGACCCCTCAGGGCCCACATGGCGGTGAGATTGGGAGGCCCCCAGGTGAGCCTGATGTGACCCTTTGACCACCAGTGTTTCAGAGGAGGCCGTGCAGCAGCCCTACAGAAGTTGGGCCGTCGGGGGGCCTGCACCCTGATTCAGCTGGAATCACTGCCCCAGGTAACCACCATGTCTTCCTTCCAAGGAAAAGAGAAGCCGGCCGCCAGCCGCACCAGCAGGGCCCCCTGCTCACCCACACCACTGTCAGACGTCGACTCAGCAGAGCTCTCCCGGGGTAATTTTGAAGTGGGATTCCGGCCACAGAGATCCGTCAAAGCTGAAAAGGGGCCTGCAGCTGGAGACAGCCGTCCGTGTAGCGCGGACTCGGGCTCCGAGCTGGCTAGCGAGGGTTCCGACTCAAGGCCGGTGGCCCAGCTGGAGGAGGCAGGCCTGGGCAGGCCACGGGGCCCCGCTGAGTTCCACAGCTGCAGTCCGGGCTGGAGCAGCGCCTTCTACGAGGCCGACTGCTTTGGTACTGACGTGCTCAACTATGTGGAGGAGCTGAGGCGGCAGAAGGCCAGCGGGGCTGTGGACACTGATGCCCAGCACCCGGTGAGTCCAGCACCCAGGGTGTCCTGGCCTTATCCATGCAGGGACGGGGGGCTGTGTGGCCTCCATGGGATGCCGGCGTGCTGGCCCCTCCTGAGTCTCCTGGCTGTGGTGGCCGTGTGTGTCTGTGGTGGGTGTGCTGTGCTCACCTGCATGGGTGCTCCAGGAACGCACTCCAGGGAGTGAGAGAGGTGGCCTCTCTCTTGTGACCTAGGCCTGTAGGGCACTGTCCTATGGCCAAAGTAAGCTTTGGGATGCCACGCTCCCACCTCACCTGCCCACCCGAGCTTCCTCTGAGGGTCTCTCACTTTCAGATGAGAGGAAAGGCTGGAAGTGCCCTGCCCTGGGCCCTCAGGGTGGCCGGGCTGGGCCGTCAGGGTGGCCGGGCTGGGCCATCAGGGTGGCTGGGCTGGGCCCTCAGGGTGGCCGGGCTGGCCAGGCTGTCCTGGGCAAAAGCCCCCTCCGTGTGCAGATTCTCCCCGGTCAGGAGAGCCGAGAGGAGACTTCAGGCTTGAGTTCAGCCAGGCTTAGCCACCCTGACTGCAGAGAAGCTTGTCCCTCCACTTATCGGGACTGCCCTTTTCTGGGACCCACATTTACACCATGAAGCTCCTGTGGGAACCTCCAACGAACCTCTCTCCCCCCATCCCTGCTGCCAGTGCACCAGAAAGCCCCTGGCCTGAACTGCTGGGGCTGTGCTGGCTGGAGACCTCTGGGAGGCCAAGGTCATTCGAGGGCCCAGGGAGGACCACCGTGTGGGGCAATCAGGCCCCAGAGGGCCTGGGGCCCATGTTCAGGCCATTTAGGGCCATGTTACTCTGCAGTAGCTTCTGCTTGAAGAGGCAACTGACTCAGATGATGGATGCAGGGAAGCATGGATGTTCATAGGGACCATGCTTGGTAGGTAGACAGAGGGGAGGAATGGCCTCGTCTTGTTTGTTCCCTGAACCTCTTGGGAAGAAGTCCATCCTGGAGCCAGGATGGTGCCCAGTGAGCTTCCTGAGCCCTTCTGCTCAAGGAGAAAAACAGCTGGGGCCACGGTTCATGTTTTTCCTCAAGGACCTGCCACGTCCAAACAGAAACATGAAAGCACAGAACAACTGCCGAAAGACAGCGTGAGCTCATGAATGGGCGGTCAGCGAGGCATGGCGAACTGGAAGGGACACGTGCATTTTCTCCATTTGTTCATGGCAGTCTTCAGTGCGCCCAGCACACACTCTGCACACCTGCACTGACACACCTGGGCACCTGGGCACTGACACACCAGGGCACCTGGGCACCTGTGCGCTCCATACGTATGCACATACACACCTGGGTCCCTGTACACTTGTATACCTGCACCCATGTGGCCGGCACTGTAGGCGTCCCCAGGGAGAATGTCAGAGCTGGCGCCACCCCCTGAACGCCCAGCCTGGGTGCTGCAGTTCTCAGCCAGTGCTGTCAGCTGGAGCGGGCTTTGCTTTCAGCAGCTAGCTGATGGCCCTAGCGCCAGCCCACCCCTTCTTGTCTCTTTGTCAACAAGGTTCCGTTTTCCCAGCTTGCCTCCTCCCGACACTGTCAGCTGTCACATCTATTTAAACTCTGGCAACTGAGCGCCAAGTGTCCTCCAGCCATCCACATCGATCTCTTTACCTCTCAACCAGGTTAAGAACAGAAGGCCCAAGTATGTCATGTTTTATTTAGCTGTCGTGGCCCTGGTCAGCCTGTGGTCGGCGTTGACTACAGTCTCCCAGGATATGGGTTGTGGTGACACACCGGTGCACACTCTCTTCTTTATTGTCCCATCTTGTATGTGATGTTTAGCCCAAATCCATCCTTAAAATCGGTCAAGTCTCCATCCAGTTGCTGGTCCTGCTTGTAAAGAGCCAGACTCCAATCCCCACAACAGGGAAAAAGATGAGAAAATGAAAAGTCACAACTCTTCTGAGATTCATCAGAGAATTGAGGTCCCAAGGAAACACGCCCTCCCGAAAACTGGAGGGACAGACGGGGGCTGGTGCAGAGAATGGCCACTTGCCAGAGCAGGGCTTCTGCACTGACTGGTGTGTGGACACACTGTTCGCTGCTCAGTCTGCCCTGAAGCGTCCCCACGGGGGCAGAGGTGTCACCTGTCCACGCGCACTCGGCTGTCTTTGGTGCTTTCACTGTGGGCTGGCCAGCACGACAGTGCCACGGAGACAGGGCCATTTCCATGTCCCACTGAAAGCCGCCTCGGGGCTCAGGAGGGCAGCTGTCCGTCGCCACCGCTTGCGTCTCCCCCCCAGGAACTGGAGCAGCAGCTGATGATGGAGAAGAGGACCTTGCGGAAGGCTCTCAAGTTCCACCAGAAGCTCCTGCACAAGGAGGAGAGGCGCAAAGGTAGCGTCGCGGCCCGAGCACAGGCACCGCGTGAGCTCGGCTCCGGGGGCCCTGGGTGACCGACAGCCAGGCGCTCGGCCGCTGCTGGGAGCCTGGGGGTCGGCGTCTACCCAGACGCGCGCGGAAGGCCCGGCAGTCTGCTTCCAAGGACCAGCGCTGCGAGCCCTGTGGCGTGCCGTTCTCATCGGACACACGAGGGGCTCTGCGGCACCCGGTCCTCACCTCTGTCTCACCTTGCAGGCTCTGAGGTGAGGACAATGCTGTCCAAGTTGAAAGGGCAGTTGGAAGAAACGAAATCCAAGGTGCAGTTCCTCGGGCTGGTCAAGAAGTACCTGCAGGCAAGTCTCCCGGCAAGTAGGCTTCCCACCCGTCAGGAGTCATAAAACGTGCCTGGCTTTCAAAGTGGTCAATGGGAGCAGAAGCCAGGCCCCTGGGGCCGGGAGCAGAATGCCGTGGCCCTTGGTGTTACAGGCCACGCAGGGCCAACTCTGGCTCTCCCCGCAGGTGGCCTATGCGGAGCGGTGGGGCCTGGAGCCCAGCGCCCTGCCCGTGATTGTGAACATCGGGGCGGCCCACTGCGGGACGCTAGACTTCAGTCCACTGGACGAGTCCTCCTCCCTCATCTTCTACAATGTCAACAAGCCCTCATGCGGTGGCGGCAGCAGCGGCAGGCAGAGGAAGGCCCGTGTTCTGCAGGCCGGCACACCACTCGGCCTCATGGCTTACCTGTACTCCAGGTGAGTCCAGGGCGAGGGGGGAGAGGGCCACTTGGGCCTGTGGCTTACCTGTGCTCCAGGTGCACCCAGGTCAAGAAGGAAGCGGCCCCTCTGATCCCCTCAGGCCATGCGCCTTCTTGAGAGCAATGGGAAAACAGATTATTTAGGAAAAAAGAGAACGGGTCCCAGGAGGTGAACACGGGTGGGAAAGGGCCCCCATCCCCACCCTCCACAGAGACAAGTTCTCACTCCCATTTAATTAGGCTAAGATTCTAATCAGTTTTAAGTTGATTCTGCTAGCAGCCTTGGCCCCCTCTGCCCAGCTCTGGCCACAGGCCCAGGCTGGATACTTGTGAACAGAGACACATCTGGGTTTGCAGGTGTATGGGAGGAGAGCCACAAACACAGCCTTGCACAATCATGATGCCCACCTCTGAACACAAGCATGCATGGGTACCAGGACACAGCCTGGGGTCCCTGAGTCCTAAGTAGAAACCTGATCATGGGCACAGGGAGGCAGGGCCCCTCAACCCCAGGTATCATTAAGGGCAAAGGGCAATCGAGTGGCTGGAATCTCGAGTGCCACCAGCACCCCCATGGCTGGCTGGGGGTCCTCCTGACTGCCACCCTCCTGGGAAGGGGGCATCAGTACACACATGTTCACTTACACCCCAACATACACACATACCCCACACGCTCAGTCACCAATGCTGTCACATACCCTGACTCTGCTCACTCACTCACATTCACACACTGGCTCACACATTCACACTTATACACCCACATTCACAAGCACACATCCTCCCTCATGCAACACACAGTCACATACACCTACATTCACACCCATGTTCACACATACCCACATTCACATGCACACATGTTCACTCATGCACACACACGTAGTCATACAGACCCACATCCATGTGCACACACACTCATGCATGCATACGTAGTCATACACACCCACGTTTATATGCACACATTCACACATGCTCATACACTCACACCCACATTCATATGCACACATGCTCACTCATTTATGCACACACACAATCGCACTCCCACATTCACATGCACGCATTCACACACACCCACATTCATCTGCACACATCCTCACTCATGCACACATACAATCACATACCCACATTCACAGACGTTCATACACATAACCATGCACTTGCACTCATACACATGTACTCACCCAGGTCACATATGTAGTCACATATGTAGTCACATGTGCATGCTCAGTCACACAGATGCACTCATACTGTCACACATGCACACTCAAACCTACATACACATAATCATTCACACACATACATGCACACTAACCTACATCCACACACACCTGTAATTGCACACATGCACTCACCTCCACACACACTCACACACAGGTGTCCAGTTGTCTGAAGTCTTACAAGGTTCTGACAAACTCTAGAACAGCCTAGATCACTATACCCTTATCAGCATCATTCCTACGGCCACACACAGACTCACACCCACACTCCAGACTCCTCTCCATCCCCCGCCTGGGGCAGCCACTGACCTGAATGTCCCCAGCAGAGTGAGGGGCTCTGGCTGTGGGGCCACCTGGCAGGAGCCTGGGGCGGGCATGGTGTCCTGAGCCATGTGGCCCCCAAGCAGCCAGTCTGGAGCCCCGCCCCTGCGGCTCTTGTGCCTCCAGCAACGCCTTCCTGGAGGGCTACGTGCAGCAGTTCCTGTACACTTTCCGGTACTTCTGCACACCACACGACCTCCTGCAATTCCTCCTGGACCGCATCAGCGGCACCCTGTCCAGGTAGCGGCCCCCGCGGTGACTGGCCCAGCCCGGAGCACTTTCCTGGCACACAGGAGGCCAAGCCACCACAGACTTCTGCTCAGAAATGGGCTCTGGGGACACGGCCTCACGGGCTCAGAGATGAGCAAGCACCCAAAGCAGGCCCCTTCAGACAGCAGCAGACTGTGAGCAGATAGTGGGGCTGCCAGGCCTCGTGGAAGAGGCAACGGGGGGACCAGTGAGAGGGCCAGGGCCGGTGCTGCACCGGAAGTCGGGCGGGCTGGGGAGGAGCCTGCACGGGTAGCAGATGCGCAGAGTCGGGAGCAGCGAGATAGGCTGGGTCCAGGGCCAGACTGAAGGTCCTCCAGGTCAGGGGCTGTGGGGTCAGCCCAAGGGCGGAGGCGGCAGCTTCAGCTGGTCAGCACCTTATGAGGTCACGAAGCAGAGGGGGCTGTGAGGGACAGAGACGTGGCGCCATGGGGCCTGGGAGGGGGTGGAGCAGATGAGGAGGGAGAATGAGGGGCATCAGTGGAAGAGTCTAGGAAGATGGGCACCCCATGGGCCAGAGGAGCCCTGGGGGTACCCGGGGGGAGCAACAGTGGGGGACAGAAAAACCACCGAGGAAGGAGCGGTGGTGGGAGGAGACAATGGTCTGAGCATCCCTATACTCTGGGGGATGACCCGGGAGAGGCCTGTGACCTAAAGAAACACTCACGGAAAAATGGCAGTCAGCCTCGGGGGGGGTGGGGCTAGCACCAGCACAGGAAGGAGGCCCAGGGAAGGCACAGGTGCAGGAGAGGAGACAAGCCAGCCGCCAGGGTGGGCGGCCAGGGAAGGGGACAGCCCAGTCTCTGCAGTGGTATGATACCAGGCTGGCTGGGATCAGTGAAGGTGGTGGTAGTGGCACACGCTGGCCTGTCATCTGCCCCCTGCCCCGGGATACCCCTGCACCACCCTTCACTCGGCTGAGTGTCATGTCCCAGCTGCCCAGGCCATCCCCACGGAAGCTGCACCTGCCTCTCTTTCCTGCTTCTTGCTGTTCCCTGTCCCCCCCAAGCATCCCAGGTACAGGGGTCGGGGGAGGTGCTGGAGAGTCACAGCCCGGCCCCCAAGAGCACGCGGAGAGGCAGCCCCCACCCCAGGGGGGCGGGATGGGGCTACATGCCCTCTTGGAGACAGGCCCAAGTTCAGAGCCAACACGCCCCCCCTTGGCGGAGCAAGCTCAGCAGGACCCCGTGAGCTTGGGCCTGCTCCCCTGTGTCTGCAGAGCCCACCAGGAGCCCTCGTCGACCATCACCAAGATCTACAAACGCAGCTTCTGCCTGCTGCAGGCCTGGGTGGAGGAGTGCTATGCTGTGGACTTCAGGAGCAACAGCGGGCTGTGTGGACAGCTTCGCGGCTTCCTCTCCTCCAAGGTGGCTGTGGCTGTGGGTATGGACAGTGGGGGGCTGTCCTCGTCCATGAACCAGCAGTCCCGACACCCCTGCCTGTGCACCTGCCCAGATCACACCTCTGGACAGCTACGCAGAGCACGTGCTGGCCCTGCTGGAGGTGAGCACGGACCAGCGGGGTGAGGGGACCACACGTGGTGGAGACCTGGAGGACCTCAAGAAGACTGAGGAGGACACCCGGCCCCTCAACGCCCTCTGTAAGAAGTTCTCAGAAGACGGCCTCTCCCGGAAGGTGGGGCCTTTCCCAGAAAAGGGTCTGCCTCCCCTTGACCCAGCTGTGAGGACAAAGCTTGTGTGTGCACACACATACATGTGTGTACACATATACAAGTACACATGCATGCACACATAGAAGCACATGTACACATGTGCACGTGCATGTGTGCATGTGTGTGGGTATATGCAGATGTGTACAAGCACACATGCATGCCCGCATTCATTTACAGTTGCACCTACACAAGCACGTATATACTTGTTCATTTATATACTTGTTTGTGCACACACATGCATATATGCACGTGTACAAGCACACATGTATGCTCATTGACACAGTAGCATGTGTACGCGTGCCTGCACATGCACAAGTACACATGTGCATATGTTCATTTACACATCTGCACTGCATGCACGCCTTGCACATACATGTGACACATGTACAAGCATACACATATGCACACACACGTTCCTCCTTATAGCCTGGGCAGCAATCCTGCTGGGCTGGGACGTCCCACCTCAGGCCGGGGTTGGCAGCAGGGCATGGCCAGGTGCTCTGATAAGGTGGGCCCAGAACCCAGGTGAAAAAGCCCACAGTCAGGAGCCTTGGGGCCAGAGCAGGGTCTGAGGTGACCTCTTCGGAAATACATGGGGACAGCCCAATTCTAGCAGCCGTTGTCCCCGGGAGTAGGACAGGTGTCCCCCAGGACAGCAGCAGATCAGGGCTGTGGGGACTTGCACCCTGGCTCCAACCCACAGGCTGAAGAGTCTTGGGACTGGATCACCTGGGTCCCGGGGGTTGCCAAGAGGGGGTGGGGGGCCTCTGGTGGCCGTGGGGAGGCCCTCAGCTCCGCCTGGCCTCGCACAGAGCTTCCCCTGGCGGCTGGCCAAGGGGACCGGGCTGGCGCTGGGGCCGCACAAGGAGCGTCCGTATACCATCGCGTCTGCCCTGCCCAAGCCCTGCTTCCTGGAGGAATTCTACGGCCCCTACGCCAAGGCTGGCGAGAAGGGGCCCTACTTCCTTACGGAATACAGCACCCAGCAGCTCTTCACCCAGCTGACGCTACTGCAGCAGGTAAGCCAGACATGCCCCTGCCCATGCTCCTGGAGGGACGGATGGGCCGTCGGTGAGGAGAGCCAGTGGCCAGACGCTCAACTCAGAGCGGAGCCCAAGAGGGACTACGGCCGGGTGCACTGGGCCACCGGTCTCCCCTCGCCTCTCCCCGCCACGTCTCCGACAGTTTAGGATCACGGACACTAGAGGGCGCCGGCGGGCCGCTCTGGGGAGCGAGGCTCCGCCCCCCTCCCCCCCCACCTCCCCACCCCCGGGCAGCCCCGCCACGCCCCAAAAGCTCCGCCCCCGCCTCCAGGCAGCCCAGCCCCCTTGGCTCCCTGGGAAGCTCCTCCCACGTCCCCTGGGTAGCTCCGCCCCCTTGGCTCCCTGGCTGTTGCTCAGAATTTGGGCCTTGCCCAAGACTGTGTGGGGCCCAGGTGTCCGCGAGGCACAGGGCGACAGAGGCTGAGCCATCCCACCCTCTGCCCTCACCACGGGTGGCAGCAACGCACTGGCAGGGGGAGCCCCGCTGACCACACCTAGCTGGGCACCCTGGTCAGCACGGAGCCCGTAGTTAGAGCTGCCCCAAACCCCAGGTTTCTCTGGGGCTCTTATGTTGACCATCAGGCCCTTGGGAAGGGTGTTGCTGAGAGTGTCCGCGTCCCCGGCAGGAATTGTTTCAAAAGTGCCACCCGGTCCACTTCTTAAACTCCCGGGCCCTGGGCGTCGTGGACAAGGGCACAGCCAGCCCCGCGTAAGTGCCCACCGCGCGCTGCTGGCCATGGACGGGCGGGCTGCTCTTTTGCAGAGCTGGGCTGGGAGGCTCCCGAGGGAGGTGACCGTTTCATTCAGCGTGCTTGGGAATGATGGGGGAGTCAGACCCCACCCCACTTTGTGCAGCCCCAGCGTGTCCATCCGGGCTCATCCGGCTGGAGCTGGCCCAGGAGCTGGCCCAGGTGTGGCCCCCTCCCCAGGCCCAGGAAGGGGACACTCTGAAGCATGTCTTGGGTGTGGCATTCTTGTGTGACCATCCTTGTGTGTGACACCCCATGTGACATCCATGTACATAATGTCCTCATGATGTCCTGTCTCCATACGTGACTTTCTCATGTGTGACACCCATGACATCCCATGTGCCCTCCCATGTGACATCCATTTATGATGCCGTCATAATGTCCCGTCTCTCCATGTGGCTTTCCCATGTGATATCCCATGTAACCTCCTGTGTGACGTGCATGAACAGTATGTCCTCATGATGTCCCACGTCGCCATACGTGGCTTTCCCATGTGACCTCCACGCACCTGTGTTTCTGTGCCAGTGCCATCTCCTCCGAGTCGCTGTCGGCCAGTAGCTTGTTTCTGCCAAATTACACCCAAGACCAGTACCTGCTGCGACTGCTGAGGAACGCAGAGGACGTGAGCACCTGGGTAGCCGCGGAAATTGTGACCAGCCACACCTCCAAGGTAGGCCCTCTGCTGCTTCTCGGTGGGATGCCCAGGTGTGGGGGCTTGGTGGGTCCTGGGGGTATGGATCCACCCCATCAGCCCAGTACCGGGTGCAGGACTCAGATCTCAGGGCCAGGGGTATCTGAGATAAAAGGTCAAAGTGGCACCATGGCACTCACCACCGTGTCTGTCACACTAGACACAGCCCAGCTCACGGGTATGTAGCACCCTCACCTCCACGCCAGGCACATCCCCCCCTTTCCTGGAGGGCCTCCACCTCCCCTGCTTCCTGCCCACCCAGACACCTGGCTCCCTTCCCAGAAGCAAAGACAATCCTCACCCTGCTTGGACCTTCACACGCGCTAGCACATACACACACGCATGCACAAACACGTATACACACAGGACACGTGCTGAGACATACACACACGCAAGCACACGCACACTTGGCGTTGCACAGGCACGTGTCCAGTCTCTCCCATGGACATGGTCCCTCCGACACCTACTCCCTCTGCCTCTGTCCAAGTCTTCCCACAACCTTCCTGCCGAAACTGCTCCCACTGCCCACTCCGAGCACAGCTGGGAGTGCACTGCAGTTTTGGGCTAAAGTTGGGCCTCCTTGCCCATCTCTACATTGACCAGGGTTTGCCTTTCGTTTTGTTTCATGTAAGGCTCCTCACTCTCCTGCCCCTCCATCATATTCTGACGTGGCATTGGAGACGTGTGCCCATCCACCCACAAGTAGGGGGCATGTGCTGGTCTGCACTCGAGGCCCGGTTACTCTAATGGGTCCCCAGAATGCACCCCGTTTGTCGGTGTTGAACTGGACAATTTGCAGTGCCGTCTGCCTGTTTCAGTTGCAGGTGAACTTGCTGTCCAAATTCCTGCTGATTGCCAAGTCTTGCTATGAGCAGCGGAATTTTGCGACGGCCATGCAGATCCTGGGAGGCCTGGAGCACCTGGTCGTCCGGCAGTCTCCTGTGAGTCCACCGGGCGCGCGTGGGGATGGGCCTAAACGGCCACAAGGTTCACTGCACTTTCATTCCAGGCCTGGAGGATTTTACCCGCCAAGATTGCCGAAGTGGTGGAGGAGCTGAAGGCCGTGGAGGTACGGCCCCTGGGCTTCTCCCAGGCCACGTGACCCACACACCAGGCGGCCCAGAGCCCGGGGCCCCGCAGAGCGTGCACAGTGCACACGGGGCTGTGGGCACCCACCTGGCTTTGCTGTGGGCCACCCAGCCTTGCCGCTCACCTGTGCAGAGGCGGCCATGAGGCTCCAGGGCCCCGCCCTGAACCACCTTCGCTCCAGGCCTCACTGGTCTGATTCTTGGCACTGCCAAGGCCGGCCTGGCCATGGTGGATCCTGTGGGCCCCTGTACCTCACACGATAACACTTGCACAGATATTCAGAGGGGCACAGAGACCAGACAGTCCCAGGTCCTAGACACTGGTCCCCAACAGGGCTCCCCACAGGCCTGGCAGTGTTCCTCCTCAGCCCCAAGATGAATGGGGAGCGTCTCTGTCCCTGGTCCCTCGGTCCTCCAGCAACCTGAGCCCCCCTGGATCTCTTGGGGGACAGCAGAGAATAAGTAAGAAAATGAGTTTGCCACATCTGTGGCCTGAAGGGCAGAGCTTCAGCCTCAAGACCATGGTGTCTGGATCCACGGCCCCGGAATCCAAGCTGTTCTGAGTGGGTGCTAGTCAGGATGTGTGTTGCCACCCATGCAGAGGGCACTGGGGCTGGCCTTGGGAAGCCCTGCTGCCCTTGTCAACCCCCATCTCTTTCCGTCTCTCCTTCTCTCTCCTTCCTTCCCCGCCCCGGGCCAGGTCTTCCTCAAGAGCGACAGCCTGTGCCTGATGGAGGGCAGGCGCTTCCGCACCCAGCCCACCATCCCCTCGGCCCGTCTCCTGGCCATGCACGTCCAGCAGCTGGAGACCGGAGGCTTCACCATGACCAACGGGGCCCACAGGTGGAGCAAACTCAGGTGAGGCGCCTCCTACCAGTCCCCCTCCTCACCAGAGGGTGGGGCCCACCCCTCACTGGGTCCTCCCCAGCCTCAGGGCCTCAGTGCTCCCTCCACCCCGGAGCTCCGAGGTCCAGAGCCTCCTTGCAGATCAAGCCAGGACAAACCCCACCCACCTTACCTCCTCACCCACCACTGCACCTCCTCAGCCCTCAGTACACACTTCCTCCTGGGGCTGTTCGCAGAGCTGCAGTCCCACCAGTTACCTACCCAGCTCACCTGGAAACCCAACCAGCAGGGAATAAAAGTGGACAGGTGGATGGACAGATGAATGGACGGATGGGCAATGATGGGTGAATGCATGCGTGGGTAGATGGACAAAGAAACGGACAACAGGTAGACAGACAGATGGACACATAACGGGATGGAAGGATGGGCACACGGATGGCTGGATAGACAGACAGGTGGACAGAAACAGACCCAAGTGATGACATGAGGGCTGGTCTGGTGAATAGGCACACAAAGCCCACCTTTTGGTCTTTGTTCTTTGAAAGATGGTGTCTCACCAGTGCACGCAGGCACGCAGGGACCCGCGCAGCCCAGAACACTGCCCCACCCGCGTGAATTGGTCTCCTCCCCAACAGGAACATAGCCAAGGTGGCCAGCCAGGTCCATGCCTTCCAGGAGAACCCCTACACATTCGCCCCTGACCCCAAGCTCCAGTCATTCCTCAGGCAGAGGATTGCCCGCTTCAGTGGGACCAATATCTCCATCCTGGCAGCGGATAGCAGGGCCAGTGTCCACCAGGTCGCCAGCGAGAAACACTCCCACAAGATTCAGGACAAGTTACGGAGAATGAAAGCCACGTTTCAGTAATGGACGGGGGTCTGCCCGTCAGACTCTAGGCCAGGGACGAGCCTGTGGGGAAGGGGTGGCAGGATAGAAGCCTGTCCCCAGGGCCTCCTGCTCGATAGTCCTGCACCTCCTGGCCAAAACACCGTGTCCATGGTATTAGATTAGCTACTCCCTAAAACCTAAGTACAAAGAGGGCTGGGCGCTACCAGAGGCAGCTTCTCCTGGGGGGGGGGGGGGTGCTGAGTCATCGGGAGGCAGGGCTTAGAGGGTGCCACCCAGGTGGGACAGGATGGGCAGGAGGTGTGGGGAGTGTCTGCTGGAATTAAAACCCAGGTAAATAGATGGGTCAAGGCCCCAGAGCTTGCCCACCTAGGAATTTCATAGGCATGACTCTCACCCTGTTCCCGAGCCAGCCCCTGGAAGCCACTCCAGGCTCAGCATCCAGATTCTGTGAGCAGGCTCCATGTCAGCAACAAGGGACCAAACTGGGCTGAGAAAGCAGGACCAAAGGACCAAAATGGCCGGGAAGGCAGGACTCTGCTGGCCTTTGACCTAAGACCCCTGGCTCAGGGTTCCAGAATGTCCGCTGGAGCCTGTGAGGCCTTCCTAGGTCAGCCGACACACCACACTCCACCCGGACTCCGCGCAGGCCCCGTCGGCCTCCGTGGGAGCCAATCCCAGCCACTGCCTGGGCCCCGTGCCGGCCGCTCCTGCCCAGCCCAGCTCCCAGGCAGAGGTGTCCCGCAGAGGCTCTGCTTCCTAGAAAGGAGCCCAAGCCAGCAGCGCCAAAGCCCAGGCAGTCTGCAACTCAAGTGCCCTCTGCCCCATTGCGTGGCCCAGGGACCCCGCGGCGTCAGGCGCTGCCCCCCGCCTCGAGCAGCAGCAGCACGCAGGCCCGTCCCGCCCTGCACCCCTGGGCTATCTCGCTGGGCCTCGCCACTGGTCCGGTCTTGGGACCTTGCGCAGGAATGACGTCTGCTGCCTCGGGGCACCATGCCCTTCCCAGAAGTTCCATGTTTTAAGCGTTTGCACATTTAGCGGAGGAAGTCTTTCTGGCCAGCAGGACGAGAGTCAGGATAGGGCACGAGTCAGTCCTCACCAGGGGCCCAGGGAGACAGCCACCTGCCCCACTGCTCTCACCCCACGCAAGAGGCACCAACGGCTCCTTGGAAGATCTTGCCAATGAGTCCAAACCAGTCTTTTGAGTTTTTAGAATTAGTGATTCTTTAGTGCAACCAGCTAGCAGCGTGTCTGGGGAAACTGTTGCCCGCGATAAAACTTGGACTTGCAAACGCACAGCCCCGTTTCCCCACATCCACCCACTGAGGGCCGCCAGGCCCGGTGCAAATGCCACGCGAGAGCCACGCCTTCGCGCCGGCACTGTTTGCTCTTTTTAGGCTTTTCTACCAGTTCTGTTCCGCCAGTCAACTTGCCCATTTTCAGATTTTGTATTTAACAAAGACAGCGCCCCACGGGCAGGACATCGTCTGTCCTGCACACAGGAACGAGACGTTGCTCCTCCACGGGGGATGTCCGGCTTCTGGCTTCCGCACGGCTGTCTGCATGCCGCCTGCCCTTCCGTGAGGTGGATTTCTAAATAAAATCATTTCTACCCAGATGACGTCTCGTGCTTCCTTGGTTTGTCACTCCAAGGCGACGCCTGCTTGGAGGCTCAGATGGTCTCCATGGTGAACGGAGTCACCCTCACAGGCAGCTGCAGGGCTCTGGGGAAGGAAGAGGTCAGCGCACAGTGCACAGCCTGCGCAACATTCCACTCTGGGAAACCAGGGACACTTACTCTGCGGCTGTTCTGGAAACCTGCACCCCAGCCCATCTCTCTGCTGACTAGCGCCTCCCTGTGCCCACCCACCCCCAGCCCAGGCCCGGCCGGCACCCCCAGCTCGCACACCTCATCTCACAGCCTGTTGAGCAAATGGAGCCGAGCTCACTGCCTGCTCCCCAGGGCATGTGACATCAACAGCGCCCTGGCCACGTTTGGGGGGGTGGGGAGCTGACCCGCACAGAGACCCTGGAGTTGCCTTGTGGCGGCCGGTCGATGCCAGGGCTTGGCTGGGATTCAGAAAGGGTCCAGCCACAGTGTTGGGAGCTCCTGGGTGGCGCAAACTGGAAAGGCTGGATTTTTCTTCATCTACCCAGCGGTGCCTCAGAAGGAAGCCAGCTTCCTAAAATTGGCTATTGAGCCCCTGTGGCGTGCAGCTCCACTCTGACACCCACAGGGTCCATGAGCCAGGCACAGTGTGATGGCCCCTAGTTTGTAAAATAACATGGGACAGGCTGTCACAGCAAAGGGCGGGCTTTGGGGGCCAAGGGTTCAAATCATCCTGTCCATTGGCATCCCCATGGAAGAGCTGATGGGCCTTTGGGGCAGTTCCTGTCAGGATCAATAATGCTGTGGGCCTGGGTCAGTGTCTGGGCCAGCCTTAAAGGGATGCCGATGAGCCCAGGGAACCGCTGAGATCACAGTACGTGGCCAGCCAGCTGCAGCTGTGGGACAGTAGGTGGGCAGGGCGGACCACCCAGAGGTGCGTCAGAAGACAGGCCTGGCGATCTGACTCCGGGAACATGATGGAGCACGCCTACGCTGCGCACCCGTGTCCCCGGGAGGCAGCATCCACTTGGTGCACCAACAGCAACACGCACAAGTGGAGCTCTTCGTGGTGCAAACGGCTGGCACGCTCGGCCACTACCTGAACATCTGAGTCCACCCGGAGAAGCCTTGGAATAAAGGCCTGGCTGTCTCCTTCAGAAAACTCAGCCCTGAAAGCCTGTGGAGCAATTCTACCGGGACAGGCCTGGGGCCACGTGAGCCGGGGTTGACTGCAGGCAACTTGTTCCCAGTTTCAAACACTAAACCCACAACCAGCCAAGTGGGGCAGCCCAGCCAGTACTGCACTAGTCCCACGTGGATTCGAGACAAAACCCTGCAGGGCACCTGCTCTGCAGAACCAGCCCCTGGTTGGAATTAAGCCCCAAAGGCTTAGCCCTTACTCTGATGAGACACTGGAGACCCCGACCCAGAAGGACCCAAGGGCCTCAGACACCCACCTGAGGTTAAGGTGACCTTCTGCTCCTAGAAGCGGTGTCAGGAAGAATTACCCAGAACCTGGCAAGAGACCAAAAGATGACTGCTTGTTCATGCATTTCATTCTGGAATGTTCTCTAACAGGTCACGCAAGAATTATCTTATTCTGCAGGGAATGTAATTTGGCTTTGATGTCGATTCAGCTGCTCCTGGAGACGACAGGCTGCCCTGCAGACGTCGCAGGGGATGCACATGGCATCTGCCCCTTAGGAAAGACAGCATGGAGCCCACGCTTTCTCCACCCGCAGGATGTGAGCCAAGCATCTCCAACTGTCCATCAGCACACCCTCCCTACGTGGCGACTCAAAGCTCTGTCCCTCAAATTCTCCTGGAACCACTTCACCACCCCACAGGTCCCTCGTCAGTTAGATAAAGCATCACCCGTTCATCCACGTAAGTGTTATATGTTACCTTTTTGTCACTATGCTCTGACAATGGGAAGGTTTACTTTGGGTGGGTCAGGCAGTTTTCCATGAGATGAACTTTCTCACATCAGTAAGTCTGTAACAAGTAGAAGTCCTGTGAAAGGGCTAGCTCTGGTTATCACGAGTGGATTGGCTCCCGTGCTGGCCACAACAGGGCACCTCCAACAGCAGCATTTATTCTCTCCCTGTGCTGGAGGCCGGGGGTCTGGACTTGGGCCCTCGGCACAGCCATGCTGCCCCCCCCAGCTGCCGAGGGGCTGCCTCTCCTCTCTCCAGCTGCTGGTGGCTGCAGACCTTCCTGGGCTTGTGGCCGCCTCACACCAACCTCTGCTGGTGCCTTCACAAAACGGTCCTCCTCTGTGCCTGCCTGCCTGCCTGTCTTCTTAGGACACGAGTCATAAAGAGATCAGGGCCCACCCTAGTGACAACATCTCAACCAGTTCTATCTGCAGAGACCAAATTTCCAAACAAGATCACACTCACAGGTACAGGGGTTCGGACAAACAAGGTCACAGAGGTACAGGGATTCAGACTTGAACACAACTTTTGGGGGCACAGATCAACCCTTAACATTAAGCAAAGCCGGTGGACCTCTCCCCAGGGCCCCCAGACCTAGTCTGCAAAGAGTTTTATCAGGAATCCGGAGACACTGAACTTTACCAAAAGTGTTTCAGCTTCTATTGAAAAAAATCGTATCGTTTCCTCTTTTGTGGCTGGGTAGATTCCCAGTCAGATCTTTTAAATGCTGAGTAGCAACGGCATTCTTGGAACCACCACACTTGCCTGTGACTCACCAGCCTCCGTAAGCATCACTGGACTCAACGCTGACGTTTTGTTCAGGGTTCCTGCGTCTACGTGAACAAGAGCTGCTGCCCAACAGTGCCCTTTCCTGGCGGTGGCCCTGATGCCTGTGACGTCAGTCCCGCTGCCTGCGTTCCCACCTTTTCTGCTGTCCGAGCATCTGCACGGAGCTGGTGCTGCTCCTTCCCTCAATGCCCGGAAAATGTCATCAGGGAAGCCACCGAGCTGCTGGTTCTCTGTAGTAGAGTTTTAAGTTTGTTACTGTATTTATAGGTGTGACAATAAACAGCTTTAAATGATTTCTTAAAAATAGAACCGTTCACAGTACCTTCAAAACATCAAGTAACTGAAACTAAACTGAATGTAGGACGTGTGAAAGCTCTACACTGAAAGTCATCAAACGACACTGAGAAAAGGTGAAGAAGGCGTGAGGGGGTAGCCGTGTCCTAGTCACAGACAGGGCACTGGATTTGCTAGTATGTCACTGTTCCAGTTCCCCAGTGCCGCTCTGACAGGAACAGACCACAAATGGGATGGCTTTAACAAACAGGAATTTATTCTTACAATTTTTAGAGGCTAGAAGTCCAAGTTCCAAGTGCCAGGCTCTAGGGGCTGTGTGAAAGCCCCTCGACCTTGGGCTTCAGCTCTGCCTTCTGCTCCCAGCCCACTGAAGCTAGAGGCATATCTTCACTCAGGCAGCTACTGGCTGCTGAAGCTGACAAGCTCAAGGTCGACAAGTGAAAAGGCACAGTCCCGATATTACCTAACCACACAGCAGGCCATTCATTCAAGTCCATTGGAAGTCCCAAGGTTGGTAGGGCATGCAGGCTTCTGAACAACGACACGGCTACATGCAGGGTTCAAGTGTACCATAAGCTAGAGACTATCCCAAAGCTGCTTCTTATATATGGGAAGCAGACCACATCCCTAAAGCAGCTACTCAGCTGCTTGTGGTAGGTCCCACCATAGAGCTGACTGCCAGTCTCATCATGGGGAATAACTACCACCAGCTGCCCAGCCACTCAACCAGGCCCAACCAAGTTGACACACAACCTAACCAGCACAGTCACCTCGCCCTAAATCCATCTGTGCTTCTCACGGCGAATAACCAAAGGCCCCAGGTTTTGCTGAAATGGACTAACCGGTCCTGAACCATGTGTGTGTGAAAGGAACCGGCACCATCCAGGGGAGCCCCAGAGGGACATAGCTGGGGACGTGCACACTCCAACATTCACGGAGACAGAGAGTGCGCATGTACAGTGAGGGTGTACTAACCGGTCCTAAACCGTGTGTGTGAAAGGAACCAGCACCATCCAGGGGAGCCCCAGAGGGACACAGCTGGGGACGTACACACTCCAACATTCACGGAGACGCAGAATGTGTATCAGTGAGGGTGGACTAACGGGTGAGACCAACCTGCACACGCACTGCACGTCAAGATCACGTGATTCACAGCACAGGGGGCTCTGCAGTTCCTGGGCACCGTGACCTTGTCAACAAACTGGGAAAAGCAAACCTTGAGCTGAAGTTCACCTGAGATGTGTTGCAGCCCTGGTATGACGGGTACGCCTCAGAGAAGTATTCAGGGATAAGCAAAGATGTCTTCAACAGAGCACCTGGGGATTGCCGAGAAGAATCGACTGCAAATCTGACTCCATGAGAATTAAGAACTTGTGTTTGTCAGGAGACTCCATTAAGATTGCAAATCCAAGCCACAGGCTGGAAGACAATATTTACAAAGCCTACAGCCAGCAAAGCAGCTCTGGTGGCACAGTGGTTAAAGCACCTGGCTGCTAACCAGAAAGGTGGCAGTTCAAATCTACCAGCCACTCCACAGGACAAAGATGAAGCAGTCTGCTTCCATCACGATGTACAGCCTTGACAGACAACGTTTCTACAATGTGTTGGTATGTTCCATAAGAATAAGATTTCTCAGGTGTATAGTAGAGCTGCCAAGGGACAAGGTTGTAGTCACTTGTTGGCCACAGCCAGCTGCCCAGAGGGAGCGAGTAGTTGGACCTGTGGGCTCGGGACCATAGTTGCACAGGACATCAAGTTCAATTGGCATAACATACTACACAAAAACACTGTTCCACATCCTACTTTGACAAGTAGCGACTTGGATTTTAAAAGCCTGCAAGTGGCCATCTAGATGCAACAATGGGTCGCTCCTTGTCCAGAGCAAAGAAGAATGAAGAAAACCAAAGATTCATGGAAACAATTAGTCCAAGTGACTGGTACACCATGTGATCCTCAGCCTATATGACTATGAGACCAGAAGATCTAGATGGTGTCCAGCTACCACTGTCAACCATTCAGAGGGGGGATCTATGGAGGAGATCCTAGATAGAGAGGGAGAACA